ATATAAGTAGTGCCACTGTCTCTCATCCCAGGTTAAGGGAGGGGATGCCGGTCGGTGTCGATCATCGACTCCACGTTCCGGTGAAGCATGAGAGGATTGACGACTCGACATATCAGATTGCGACTGAACTGTCTGCTGAGTAAGGTCGATGTCGAGATCTGAACCAATCGGGTGTTGAGGTTCTTGCGTGAGATCTCGGCCTTGACTAGCTGAAACCTTATGGACTTTGGGTTTGTCCGTTTTGGGTTTCTTTGACTGCTGTGAGTCTTTGCCCTGCTTCCGGATCTTGGAAGGTACGGCAACGGATGACCCCTGCTTCCGGATCTTGGAAGGTACGGCAACGGATGACCCCTGCTTCCGGATCTTGGAAGGTACGGGGTGGTCCTTTATCGGCGTCGATCGTTTCGGTGCCGAAGCATCGATTGCGACCGTCGACGTCGATGATCCCGGAACGGGAGGACAAGTGTCCGCAGCCAAGGTGGACATCGAGGCGTGCCCGGACGTGTCCAACGGTGAAGAGGACTGTGGAGATAGTGCCTTCTCCATCAGGGCCAAGTGTAGACGAGCTGCTCTGTTTTTTCTCGTCTGGTTCGAAAACTTTCGGCAATGTCTGCACTTAGAGACACAGTGCGACTCCCCTAAACAAACGAGGCAAAGCGAGTGCCCGTCGGTGGGGGATATTTTAAGGCCGCAAGTCCTACACCGTTTGAAACAACCCCACCGCGGGGCCATAGGCCAGCGGGAGGGGAACGAAAATAAAGAATAAACACCGAAAGAAAAATGCTAACTACAAAAATAAAGAAAGAGAAACTAACTAAACGCAAGTTTAGCAAAAAAAGTTGGTACTTAGCAGACCGAGGCAGAAGGCGTCCTACCAGCGCGGCGGTCAGAAGAGAACTGGCGGGATCTGCGTGCCCCTCCTTGGTCATGCGCAGTGGAGCCGGCGCGTGACCTGGGAGAGGCGCGAAAATCCCTTTTGCTAGCTATCGGTACCGAGAAGGTCAGCGCAGGCGCAGAGTATCCCAAGGGGGTGATGCACAGAGACCACGAAGAAAATGTTACACTTTTGAATTATACCTTTCAATCATACCTCATTGTAACATTGTGGAGACTCTCCACAAGACGTTGTTTTAATTGGAATATTGTTAGTTACTCTTGTTTAATCTTTTTATTTCCAAATAAAATTGTTATTCAAAAAAAAAGTGTGAGAGTTGTTCATATAGTAAATTCACAGGGATTATGTTTTGTTCAGCTGTATATTGTAGGACCGGATACCAAGTTGCTACAAATTAACACTTTTAACAACAACTCCAAGAAATAAATAAAAGCAACTTACGCTTGATTTCTCGTTGCTTTCAGTGTTGGCTGTTTGGGAAGTGAAACAAACTATAGTTAAACTTTCCAAAATATAAAGCTGGTTGTGTATAATTTTCTTAGACAAAACTAATACAACCAGATTTGGAACAGAGAAGAAAGTCATCTATGTACTGCAGTACTCTCCACAGTAATTTATGGCGTTAAAATGATTTAAAAAAGCAAACAAGTCCAGCTCCTGAGGAATCAGAGACAGACTGTACCCTCCACCAACACAAGAACTTCCTATACAGACAGAGATAACATCAATGAGCATCAGATTCTAAACCTACTACTAGGCACCAAAAGCTACTGCGTTTGGTCACAGGCATTAGCGACATCTGAATATAACATGTTGTCTTAGTTTAATGTTCCACTTTTCCCTATGTTCTGCCATGTGGAAAAGGGACTAAACTATTCCAGTGCTGCAGTTCTCAAGAGAGCCCTTGCCATGTTGGATGAAATCTTTTTGACCTTCACATTTGAAGGATACTCTGGAGAACCATTATGCACAGGGTACAAGCTCTCTGCCAGCTCAGCAACAGGAATAGGAACTTTCTACCAGCGCAAGGAGGATGGAGAGGGACCACGCTTTTGCTCCAGGACACATTTTAAAAAGGCATCTACTCAGCGTAGCGAGAGGGATGACGACACCCAAGGCCGACGATTTACCTGGCTGCAAGAAAAACTGGTAGCGTCGCCAGGAGTTCCGAACCTTAAGCGGAACACTGGCATTGGTGGGTGACTCTAGAGTGGGCAGCAAGAAGAGAAACAGAAAGAAGAAAAGCAACTCTGTGAAAGTAAGCCAATGACCAGAGGGCAGCCAAGAGACTCCAAAGGTCCGTAGCGAATCATGTAAAGATTGGTTGGTTGCTTCCCGGTTTCCATCAAGATAAATCGAGAGCACAGCTGGAATTTTCTGGACAACGGCAAAAACAGTTTTATTCCAGGATGCAGATGGGGCAAGTCGAGATGTAAATCTGAACGTATGAGTGGTCAGTTGTTTGTAATTGAAATTTTTCAGTTTTGTTCACGTTTTTGCAGCCAGCTGACATGCATTTTGCTTGCAGAAAGCAGGGAACAGAAACTGAACAAGCCTCATTTCAGGGGTGCTCCTCTTGAGAAGGTGCTGAACCCACGTGGCGTGGCCCATCTCCACAGCCAGGACTTTGGTCCTCAATAGTCCCCCTTCCACAGCATGACTGGCTTCAGTGTAGGGCTGGCCTGGGGAAAGGTGCACCTTTCTCCAAAACAATTCTCATTTCTTTAGGGGTGTGTTACATTGCTGGATCAGGAATATTATTAGTAAAGCAAGACCTTTGCCGACTGACTCTGACAGATTTCTTGGCCGTTGTCGACAACGGGAAAGGTGTGGGCTGAAGCTAGTGCGGCACAGAGGCTGTTTGTGTGGACTCTTGGCAAGAGAACCCCAGTCCACATCATGTCTCAGTAAGCCACTCTGTGCCTCGGTTTCCCCACTGCAATGTGCAGTTTGGTTGTTGTGAGGGGTTACAAAGATAACACATGTATGAATATTGTTGCGTAGAAGCAAAATATTATGATCTTTCTCTTTGTGTGTATTTTATCCCAACCTTCTTCCAAGAAGGAGTTCAGGGCAGCATCTGTGGTGAAGACTTATCTTATCCCTACCACCCTGTGGGGTAAGTCAGGGTGACAGAGAGTGGCAAACCCCCTTCCTGTTTACTTACCTTCCAGGATAGAATTCTGCAAAGCAACCTGGCTTGTCTCAGATGTCGTGTTCAGAGACTGATACGGGATGCTCCCATCTTGTTCAGGAGCTTCCAAGGGCACTACCTAGGCCAATTGTTTGAAGAACAGACATCAGCGGCAAGACAACAAGAAATGGTCACACATGAAAACTGGTGGTGGAAAGTGCCATCAATTTGCAGCTGACGTATGACAACAAGTGAGCGCATGCTGAGAAAAATTTCATTATAATTTCGGAACTGGGCTTTGGTGAGAAAGATTTTTACTATGACTGCTTATTTTTGGGTAGGTTTGGGATTTATACCTGTATGGTTCTGTTGCAATGGGGAATGTATATAAGAGTCTGTGGCAGCTGTTTATAAAGGTTATGGCACCACATTTGCACAAGTCACAATCCTCCCTGTAATTTTCAAAAAGATGGAACACAGGGGTTCAGTTTTACAAACCCTCAAAGGAAGTGACTCTCGGGGCAGCTGCACTTCTTTCTACTAATTCCTAAAAAGGCAGTCAAGCAGCAGCTGAGCAGGAGAGCTCCATCTGGCCACGACATTAAAAAAAAGCCAGTCTGTGTTTTGAAACTCTTATAGTGACTCCTTGACCATAAGAATTCCTTACCTTTCCACTGAAATCTCTGCATTTGCCATCCTTCCTTGTTGTGGCCTGTTTTCTTTCACAAAGTGAAAGTGTTTCCCTTGCAAAACCCGTAATCCCTTTCTATCAATCTGCCATTATTTCCTATAGGGCACTTTTGAGGGGAGCTGGAGTGGCTGTTTGCAACCAAATGCCACCAAAAGAGCAACAGAGTAAGTGCTGTATATCCTTAAAAAATCCCCAAGTTTCAAGCAAATTGGGCCAAGGAGATGAATTGTATGAGCCCCTAAAGAAGGTGCCTCCAGCATTCTACTTTTCCAGCCATAGAATTTACAAAGAATAAAAGGGGTCTGCCCTCTCAAATGAGAAAGAGAACTGAAGCTTTCTGTGGTTTGTCTCCAGCAGTGATGGGCTGGAAGAGCTCTGTGCTCCTCCCTTGCAAAGATCTGACAGGGAGGGAGAAATGCCAATGTTTGGGAAATCAGTAGAATCAAAGAAAAACATGAGCACATGCTGTAGCTGGCTAGCAGTGCACGAAGATTAAAAAATCCCACAGATTGTTCTGAAAGAGGTTTTTTTGTCATACCTAAGAATCTTGGATTTGTGTTACCATTCCAGAAAATCACAGTAGTGACCCAAATCAGTGATCTCGATGTATGTCTTTGGCTCAGGAATTTCATTATTCACATCCCTAATGGTAACCCTCTAGGGTTTTCAGGGCAAGAGACAAATGTGGTTTGCCATTGCCTGCCTCTCCATAGCGACCTTGGACTGCCTTGGTGGTCAGTCTCCCATCAATCAGGTCAATCCTGCTTCGCTTCCTCGATCCTGATGAGATCAGGCTAGCCTGGACCATCCAGGTGAAAACTACACAAGCATATTCTATTTCAGATCTGTCAGCTCTACCCACTGACAGAACTCTAGTTGGACCGATTTACTAGTTTGGATTACATCTGTTTGGAAAAAAATCACTGTTTTTCTATATGAATGGTCCCATCAAAAAGGCCAAAAACCTAGACATATATTTATATAAAACAACAAACCTGCCTGAATACAATTGCTTTAGTTTGTTTATAAAAATGTACAAGGAGAACTAAAAAAATCTTGCACTGGCTGAAGATAAGCACAGTGCAATCTGCTTTCAGTTATTGTCTCTTTCATGTACTCTGCCCTCTCCCTGCCTCCTTTCTCTGCTTGCTCTCTCTCTGTGGCTAAAAGAGGTCCTCTTCAGCATGCAGGAATGAGCGCTGTTTGTTGTCACTTGGCCAGATTTATTTACAAGGAAGAATCCCAATGAGATGGGTGAGGAGGGAGTGGCTACCCCTCTGCGTCTGCTCTGCATGTGGAAGGTGCAAAGTGGACAATAACTGGACTTGATAGACACGTGGTCTGACAGGAGAAGGTACCGTCATGTGACGTTTATGGGAGGGGTTGTGGCTCATCAGTAAAACATCTGCTTTGCATGCAGAGAGTCCCAGGTCCAGTTCCTGGAACCCCAGTTAAAAGATGCAGGTAGCATGTGACAGGAAAACCTCAGCCTGAGATCCTGGGGCACTGCTGGCAGCCAGAGTAGATAAGGCTGAACTTGATAGACCAAGGGACTGATGCAGTATATGGCTGCTTCATGTGTTTTTTTTGAGCCAGAGAACTCTACTTAGTAGGTAATCTCCTATGTGAACAGCAGAGCAAGTTCCCCATTCAAATGATGGAAAATGAATGTGAAAATTAGCTACACATCTCTTGTTATTTTTTAATGCTTCTTGTTACCTTCTGAACAACTGGTGCTTCTGCATCCTTTTTTTTTGCTGCCTCCAGTTTTTTCAGTTCATCATTTGAACCCATTTCCTTGGAATGATTACTGAGGGAGGAGAATTCCACAGTGGTCACTGTAGGGCTGGCACGGGAAATTGCTGTGCTGAAATCTTTACAGGCTGAAGTTAATACCACTAAGGGGAACAAAAGACAAACATAACATGAAATATTTAAATCAGCAATGCTGCGCTAATTTTTTCCAGTACGGTGAACGTTGTTTTCTTTCTCTCCAGAATGACAGACATAAACTGAAGACACAATGGGTGCGTTCAGACGGTGTGCTGAGAGTGGTTTAAACTGGTCTGGTTCTGACGTGATTATCTTTGATCTGGATAATCGCGATCACACTTACCTCCCTTATCCTGCCTCACCGTGCAGTCACATCGCTCCCCGGCGTCTAGACTACCGATGTGCGGGAGCGTGTGTCGGTGGGGTTTTTTCTCAGTTTGCACATGCACATAGGCGCTCATCCATAGAATCAGGGGAAAGTATCATGGCGCATGCACAGAACCATCAGGGTGAATCAATCCAACCCCTCCAACAAAAGACTTCCCTTTAAACCTTCGACCCGAAAATGCCCTCCATGAAATCTCGAACTCATCTATACGCTAAAACGAGTGACCGTTTAAACGTCGTTTTTATAAACGTGGTAGCAGAGCTCTGCCTATGCGCACACTGCCAACGCTAAAAAAATGGCGGGTGAAAAGTGGAAGCCTAAGGCTTCCACAGCAGTTTTCAAGCAGAGAGGGGGTTTAAACCACCGGAAGTGGCTTGACACTGGAGGAGTGATCACACAGGGGAAAAATGCGGCTTTAAACAGGAACACGGAAAAAACACCACTTGGAACCTGGTAACAAAATACTCTGGTTTAAAGGGGGTTTTGAGCCGGAAACCAACGGCTGGGGATGGGAGGCAGATGTTGACTGTGCGATCGTGCATATAAAATCTGTTGTTGATCAGTCATGACACCAGATCAAATGGCACGTCTGAACGCACCCAATAAGTGATGGCCGCTAGTTCTAGAAAGCTTCTAGTCAGCAGAAACTAATAGAATAAAATAGGGCTGCAATCTTTATCTGACTGGTCGGGTTCAGATATTTCCAATGCTTTAGAAAACATCCACCCACTTTGAGACCTAAGGAACTGTGGGTTTTAAAAACTAAGACCTTGCACACAACAAAGAGCATCATTCATTAATTACTTAAGAATCACCAAGATGAAACAGTGATCTTTTTCAGAAGCAAACTTCACTTTTTCATGATACCTCTAGAGGGCACTGTCCACACAGACAGCTTAGCAGAGGAGGAAGACGCACAACTATGGATAGTTTTATGCTACCCTTTCCACAGCTGGTCTACACATGCAGGGCAGTGAGGTGTATGTATTCTGAGGTGGTAGGAGTGTGTGTTATATTGTTACTGCTCTCCAGCCTTCTCAATGTCAGAATTAGCTAATCAGGGAGAAAGTTGCTAAGCCTACCCCTAGGCATGCTGCGACAGTTCTCTGTTTGCAAGCAGGGTTGCCAAGTGGCCTGGAGAAAAATGTCCCTTTAGTAGAGGCTGAGCTGCAGACCGGAAGGATGGTAGCTTGGCAGTTCGAGATCCTAGCACTGTGTGACGGAGTGAGCTCCCGTCTCCGTCTCCGGCTCCTGCCAACCTACCGTAGCAGTTTGAAAGCAAGAAATTGCAAGTAGATAAATAGGTACTTCTTCGGTGAGAAGGTAACAGCGTTCCATGCACATCGGTGTTTAGGCATGCCGGCCACATGACCACAGAAACATCTTCGGACAGTGCTGGCTCTTTGGCTTGGAAACGGAGATGAGCACCGCCCCCTAGAGTCGGATTCAACTAGCTTTCCGAGCAAAGGAAACCTTTACCTTTAATGTGTGGAAATGGGCAGCTAAAGCTTCTCATAGAGTGGAGAGAAATGGAGGCTTTTTTTCCTCTCCAGGCAGCTGGCAACTCTGTTTTTAGAGAACTGTTAAGGACAGGGAACTTTGAAAAATGGATCCTGTCCTGGCCGTCTTGGAATGGTGCCGTCCCACCTAACACTTCAGCACTCTGCCAGCTCACGACCACCTCATTCTGCTGCATGTCCAAACCAGGCCTTAGACCAGGGTTCCTCAATGCTGTTAAGCCTGTGGGTACCACTGGAATGTGCCGCCACAAAACGGCCATTAGTTACAAAACGTAGGGAGGTTCCAAGCCGAGCATCCTATGATGGGGACAGCTATTTCCAAAGGGGTGTTCCCAAAGGCGATGCCTTCTTTGGGTTTTCTAGACCTCCCACTCCACTAAGGTGGAGGACAGCCAGGACTGGCTCTTTGTTTTGGGGAAGAACCAAGTGGGTGCCAGGAAACTGTGGAGTCTTGCGAGCGAAAATTTTCCTTTGTGAGCTACTGGCATTAAAGTTGTGAGCGAGCAATTTGGCTCATGCATAATTTAGTTTGCTCTGGAGCCGCCCTTCCTGAGCGAAGGCAAAAAGGGGTGAGCCGGAGGCTAAAAAAAACTGTGAGCTGGCTCACACCGACTCAGCTTAGAGGGAACACTGGCGGGCACCACATTCGGGGACCCTGCCTTAGATACTATTGTTCGTTAACATATATATACAATGTGATATATAAAAGGCTATGCAGCTGCTCATCTGCTTCAAAATCATACCTAAAAAAAGTTACATGTGCACATACTATGCTTGCAGTTTTCCACTCAACTGTTCACCCGGGGGCATTTACTACCCACCCCAGGTGAATAACAAGCTGAACCATCCATTGTCTCCTCTCTGTAACATGACACTGTTGTAGTTCCTGGCCAGCCTCTACTTGTGTTTTGAGTCAGGAAAATGCCGGATCTTATGGTCTCTCTAGGAGCTGCGGTGGCTCAAGTGGTTAAGACGCTGAACTGCAGGCTGTGGAAGGTCAGTAGTTCAGCAGTTCGAGACCCAAGTGTGCCGCATGACAGAGTGAGCTCCCGTCTCTAGTTCCAGCTCCTGCCAACCTAGCAGTTCGAAAGCAAGAAATTGCAAGTAGATAAATAGGTACCACTTCAGTGGGAAGGTAACAGCGTTCCGTGTGCCTTGGTGTTTAGTCATGCCGGCTACATGACCACGGAAAACATCTTCGGACAGCGCTGGCTCTTCGGCTTTGGAACGGAGATGGAGCACCGCAACCCTAGAGTCGGATTCAACCGGCTTTCGAGCAAGGGAACCTTTACCTTTTATGGTCTCTCTGGGTGTTCTCACTCCCCTGGTTTTACAGGAGGCTGAGAAAAACGGGCTGGCGAGGTGGTGGCGATAACGGGAACATTTGAGCTCCCACTCCCAAAGTGCACTTTGCATTTGTGAAAATATTTATGAAAATAAATACTTTCATCCCTGAATATACTTTTATCCCACCTTCCTCTACAAGTGGATTCCAGGCAGCTTATACACATTTTAAATGATAGCAATTATAAAAAGCATTAGCACATTCAAAACACAGGTGACATTAACTTTTACAGTCTGTCGGCGTCATTCCCGTTAAATTCAAAACACAGATGACATTAACTTTTACAGTCTGTCGGCATCATTCCCGTAAAATTAGCCAGCAGTTAAAAAGCTCTGGCTTACATCATTTCTTGAACTTGAACAAAGCGGGCACCTTCCTGACCAAGCCACTATCAGAAAACATAACATACAACACAGGAGGAATCTTAAGGGTACGCAATGGTGGGTGGTGGACACATCGACTTAGTGGTTTGCATCTAATCATGCAATTCTGGCTGTGGGACAGAATTTCTGTTTATGGGAGAGAGGGGGGTGATTTCTGTTGACTCCCCCCCCAATGCAAAAGACTTCTGCCTGAGACCCTGGATAGCTACCAACAGCTGCAGTAGATGATAGTGAGCTTGCGAAACCAAAGGGAGCTTCATGTGTGTTTGTGTGTCTGTATTTACACACACGTACATAAGAACATAAGAACATAAGAGATGCCAATGTTGGATCAGGCCAAAGGCCCATCCAGTCTAACACTCTGTATCACACAGGGGCCAGAAATACCAGGTGCCATCAGGAGGTCCGCCAGTGGGGCCAGGACATTTGAAGCCCTCCCACTGTTGACCCCCCCCCCAAGCACCAAGGATACAGAGCATCACTTGCCCCAGAGTCCCTATCTATAAAAAGGTAAAGGTTCCCTTGCTCGAAAGCCAGCCGAATCCGACTCTAGGGTTGCGGTGCTCATCTCCGTTTCAAAGCCGAAGAGCCAGCGCTGTCCGAAGACGTTTCCGTGGTCATGTGGCCGGCATGACTAAACACCAAGGAGCACGGAACGCTGTTACCTTCCCACCGAAGTGGTCCCTATTTATCTACTTGCAATTTCTTGCTTTCGAACTGCTAGGTTGGCAGGAGCTGGAACTAGAGACAGGAGCTCACCCTGTCTTGCGGCACCCGGGTCTTGAACCGCTGAACTACTGACCTTCCACAGCCTGCAGTTCAGCATCTTAACCACTTGAGCCACCGCAGCTCTCTATACCTTGTGGCTAATAGCCACTGATGGACCTCTGCTCCATATGCTTATCTAATTCCCTTTTGAAGCCGTCCATGCTTGTAGCCGCCACCACTTCCTGTGGCAGTGAATTCCAAGTGTTAATCACTCTTTGGGTGAAGAAGTACCACTTCCTTTTATCCGTTCTAACCCGACCGCTCAGCAATTTCATGGAGTGCCCACGAGTTCTTGTATTATGAGAAAGGGAGAAAAGTACCTCTTTCTTGACCTGCTCTACGTATGTACATAAATCATGGTAAGCAATCTCCATGCAGGGCAGAGGACACATAAGCTCACGCCCCACTTCCACAGACCAGGTTCCACTATGCGTGTGAACCAGGGGTCATTTCCTGCAGGAGCGCACAGGAGCGGAGCTCTGGCAGTAAAGAGCCCAGGGGGTGGGCACATGCAACAAGCCCCACCCCCTGCTCCCAGCAGCCCTCAGTCAGAGCAGGAAGCAGCCAGGTAAATTGCAGAGCCCCCCAGGCCCAAAACAGTCCAGTGGCACATTTAAGACCAAGTTTTATTCAGGTACAAGCTCTCCCTCCTCTGTGAGGACAGATCTGCACGTTCCCCCCCCCCCCAATAGCTAGCAATCCCAAACAGTCCAGTGGAGCCTGAGTGGTGGGTGTTGCCTTCTGACACACGTCTGGTGATGTCAGGGGGTGTGGCATATGCAAATAAGTTATGCTAATAAGTTATGCTAATGAGCTCCTGTACCTCTTTTTCTACCAAATGAACCCTGGTGTGAACCAAGACAGATAAGAAAGGGAAATGAATGCAAATCTGGTATCTAGCAGAAGAAGAAGTGATTCCAAACAACTCTTATTACAAAGATCTGTTATATTTTTAAAAGGACTCTTAAGGGTTGAGAAAGTTGATTATTGCATAGCGCCAATATATGTTATGAATGTACTGTTGTATATATTGTTCAAAATAAAAAACACTTATTGGGAAAACCACAAACCTGGAGATGTTCCTTCTGAATCCACTTCGTCATTTTGGCTGGTTTGTTTAGCTTCTTCGAACAGGGAACCCTGCAAGGAACACTCATGTTACGGTTACATCATAAGGGAACCTGATAACAAATGCTCGTCATCATGCAGTAGCAGAATTTGCTCCTTAAATGGCCTTTACGTCAATTGTCAAACCCGTTAACTCTGAAGTAGTTCTTAAAAATACCTATTGACTTTAATGGTACTTGAATCAAACTGCTCCATCGCTTTGCACTGAAAGTTACGTTACTGAGATGAACAGATGCAAATGCAGATAATATACCATAATGAAGGTATATAGCACTACCAGAGAGGAAGTAATGATAATCTGTTGTAGCTTTTATTTCCCCAACTGAATCTAGCAGTCAAGACCCAAAACCCACAATCATATGGAACTGGGTTTACTGTATTGCCCCTGTGTTGAAAGATCTATATTACTGCTCTTCTGTTTCCAATTAAAAGAGCTGGTTTTCACCTAAATGACTTGGACCACGGTACTTGAAAGACCACCTTCTGCCCTACCATCCAGGTCCTCTGTCAAGGTCCTCTTCTCAAGCCCTGCGCCATGTGTGTGGCAGATGAGGCAGGTGGCGATTAGAGACAGAGCTTTTCCACTGCTGGTGAATCACCTTTGGAATACCCTCTCCCTTGAGTTTGGTGTAGTGGTTAGGAGCGTGGACTCTAATCTGGGAGAACCGGGTTTGATTCCCCACTCCTCCACACGCAGCTGCTGGTGTGACCTTGGGTCAGTTACAAGTCCTTTCAGAGCTGTTCTCTCACAAGCAGTTCTCAGAAGAGGTCTCTCAGCCCCACCTACCACAGGGTGTCTGTTGTGGGGAGGGGAAGGGAAAGGAGATTGTAAGCCACTCTGAGACTCCTTCAGGTAGTGAAGGGCGGGGTATAAATCCAATCTCTTCTCTTCTTCTTACTTTTTTTAGGCACCAGGTCAAAACATTTCTATTTAATCCAGGCTTTTAATTGAAAGATTTGTTTTTTAAAGTAGTTTTACGGTTTTCTCCTATTCTGAGGACTGTTCTATCAATATCATTTTGAACTGCTCTGTTTATTATATGTGCTTTTATGTCCTGGCATGTTTTTATTGACGTGTTTATTTTATTTTATTGGCTTGTTTTATTGATTTGCTTTTATTGGCATGATTTGTTTTTATTGACTTGTTTTTATTGTCTTGATTGGTTTCCTTTTATTATCTTAGTTGTAAGCTGCCTTGAGCAGGTCTGGATAGGCAGCACACAAATTTTCTAAATAAAACTAAGAAAGCAATAATTTCATTATTTTGGGACTGCACTATCAAAGATGACTCGCATGTGTGAATGAGCCATCACAAAACGAAACACCACCTTTTTCCTATCACCACAATTGCAATGCAATTAACTGGTTCATATTTATACACTCTGCTGTCAGTAATGAAATACTGACTAATCAAACAAGAAATCAAGTCACAAAGAAGAACTATGCAAAATCCTACATGCTCACCCACCCAAGATGTATCTCATTTCTTCCACACCTTTTGTTGAAAATGAATTAAACAAAATAAATCATTTTTTGTATAGTGCACTTAAAATACAAATAAAAAACCACAGGTCTTGAATTTAGCCTCTAGACTAAAACCACTGGACTAGGTAGTCTCAGTATACATTCAGTGATACAAATAAATATCCTCATGCTGATAACTTAGAAATAAGACCATAATCATAATACCAAATGCATTTCAGCCCAATGGTCCTCCTTCAGTGCCAAAACATGCTTGGCCCTGTTTATTGTGATGGTGGTCTTATCTGTAAGTTACAACCTGTGGGTATTTATTTGCAGGGCTATTTTTGGGCAGGAATGCACAAGAACGGAGTTCTGGCTGGCTCCCGAGTTGGCCACGCCCAGCAGGAACTCCTTAGGATTGGCTACATTAGGGGTATGTGGCCTAACATGCAAAGAAGTTCCTGCTACAAAAAAAGCCCTGGGTTTTGACAACAAACAAGGTAAACAGAATAAGAAGCAAAAGGTGGGTGTGGCTGGATGAGCACACTTCTGGTAACATGTGGTGTGTGGCCTAATAGGCTAATGAGCTGTGCTGTCATGGGTGTGGCCTAATATGCTAATGAGTTTCTGCTGTTGGGTGTGGCCTATTATGCGAATGAGTTCCTGCTGGGCTTTTTCTACAAAAAAAGCCCTGTTTATTTGTATGGGTGGGTGTGGCTGGATGAGCACACTTCTGGTAACATGTGGTGTGTGGCCTAATAGGCTAATGAGCTGTGCTGTCATGGGTGTGGCCTAATATGCTAATGAGTTTCTGCTGTTGGGTGTGGCCTATTATGCGAATGAGTTCCTGCTGGGCTTTTTCTACAAAAAAAGCCCTGTTTATTTGTATTACTTAATGTACATGGGGGACTATTTACTCCGGTGGTTTCAATCTAGAGGCTAAATTCAAGGCCTCTGTTTTAATTTGTATAAATTTAAGCACAGTGTATAATACATTGATTTGTTTTGTTGAATTTGTTTTTAACATTGTTCTTGCTCAGCCTTGGTGGTACCTAGTTCAACTTCTGGGACTGGTTTGTAGTGTCACACACCTTCAGTCTATAACCAGAGTAAATCTACTGTGGGATAAATCTATATCAAGCGGCAAGGAAGTCTGCGGCAGAGATGTCATAGAATACTATTCTGTATGAACTTGTAGTCTGTGCTTCCCACAGACCAATAATGCAGAAGAATGATCAAGGTATGAAAGCAATAATAATTATTTTTAATGGTTTTCCCTTCCTCATTGCACCCAAAGCTCTAATTATTTAAAAAATAGTATTCTCTTTTTTAAAAAAATAAGTTCAATGCCCCCTCCCCCCCAACCCCCCCCATCTCTGTGTAATTATTAGGTTATTTCAGAAAACCAGTTTCCCGTATTTTAGCTACTAGGCTGCAGAATCAAACTAAAATCACCGTCTGAACTATTTATGATGTTCTCCTTTTCTACGTATACCTTTAAAAACCCGTCTTCCACTTTAAATGTCACTAGAATTAGTTGCAGCCCTCTAGATGTCCATGTGAGGACAGCCTCACAGGGTCGGTTGGGGTAGATTTTATACTAATGTTTTGTCGAACATTGCAAAAGCTACAGGGGTTAAAAATCTGACTCTGCCACTGAAAGAAAACTCAGCATGGAGAAGGAAAGCTTTACATTTGGGCATATTATATGACTGTCGGTAGGGCAGGCACAGCATGAGCCACGGAACTCCTTTAACCTAGTTAAACTAAGTCTTGGGACTCTTTAAAAGAATTATGTGATTAGTTTTATAGTTTGAGCAAATGCCTTCTCTGGGCCTGTAATAAAGCTACACAATTTCCTTTCCTTTTTCCTGATGCATTCAGGGTTGCAAAGTGGCTAACCCAGATTTGAGCTTGCACATGCATTTTGCTGTGACCACAGCACTTGGAAACCAATAACTTCCCTCATATTGGGGTGAGCAACTCAGCATGCCTGGACATTGGGGGGGGGGGGCGAGCTACATCACTCTGTGTATAGAGGAGTTATCTCCTTGAATGGGATGCCTCTCTTGGTCTTAACCTCCTAGCTGCCCTCTGACCCCTCCTCTCTCTCTCACTTTGTCCTCTCACTCACTTCACATGGCCTTCCATGGAGACACAGCTCTACAGATCTCTCCTGTGGTCAGTGCTTCCACATCAGCCATGCCAAAAAGGTATACTCCTTTCCACCAAAGGTCTCTCATCTCCTCAGAATTTCAGTGGTAGATGTCCACGTGGCCAGACGAGCCTCAGGCATTGCCTTTCCTAAAGAGAGGAACAGCTCATTAAAGGATTCCACAGATAAAAAGTGAGGCAGGCATTTGCAGAGCTTATGAAGCAAGGGCCTATGCCATTAGAGCTTCATCTGCCACCTCCCTCATGGCTAGAGCTTCCATCATGTGGCTTCACAAACTCCTGTGGGACACTACTGATTTATGGAGGTAGCCAACTGGCTACCTCTCTAGACTAGAGACAGCCACAGCCTTCATGACTGATGTCAGTTTTGATTCCTCAACAAATTTGTTGTATATGAAAAAATTTAAATAGAGACACTTGCGGAGGCAATTACAGCAAGGGACTTCATGACATCTATAGATCTCAAAGAGGCCTACCCACATATCCCCATATTTTCCCCACACAAAAAGTATCTTCACTTTGCTTAGGAGGGATCACTATCTGCCCTTTGGATTAACATCAGCCATGAGGGTGTTCATGAAAGTGATGGTTGCCCTTGTAGCAAGCCCTCAGATCCCAGGGTATCCATCTGCACGCCTGCTTGGATAGGGCTGCCAAGTGGGGGCGGGGGGTGGGCAAACCCCCGCTTCAGAGGCCCGATTTCCGCTGCCGCCGAATCGGGCCCCGGGGTGAACTCCGCCTCGGCGTGTGCGTCACCTGGAAGTGACGCAGGCACGCTGGGGGTGGGGCCACAGCTATACAAGGGAAAACCCTATGGTTTTCCTTTGTATGGCCGTGGCCCCGCCCCCAGCGTGCCTAGCGTGCCTGTGTCACTTCTGGGTGACGCGGACGTGGCGTGTGCACGCTTTGCGCGCGTGCGCACACACCCGACGCCGGCCGGGAGCCCCCCGCTCCCGGCGAACTCTCACTTGGCAACCCTAAATGTGAGTTTATCATTTTTGCCTAGAAGCTCAAATAAAATATATTCCGCAGGTTAGGAAAGGCACAAACAGGTATAAGAAAAAGCCTACATGGTTAACAAACAAAGTAATGGAAGCTGTAAAAGGTAAAAAGGATTCCTTTAAGCGGTGGAAAGCTAGTCACAGTGAGGCTGATAAAACAGAACACAGGCTATGGCAAATAAAATGCAAGTCTGTGGTCAGGCATGCAAAAAGGGAATATGAGGAGCATATAGCAAAAAATGTAAAGACCAACAATAAAACTTTCTTCAAATACATTAGAAACAGGAAACCAGCCAGGGAGGCAGTGGGGCCCTTGGATGACCAAGGGGTAAAAGGAGTACTGAAGGATGATAGGGAAATGGCTGAGAAGCTAAATGCATTTTTTGCCTCCGTCTTCACTGTGGAAGATGAGAGGTGCTTGCCCACTCCAGAGCCGCTGAGTTCGGGAGGGGTGTTGAAAGACCTGAGTCAGATTGAGGTGACGAGAGAGGAGGTCCTAAAACTGATAAACAACTTAAAAACTGATAAATCACCAGGCCCAGATGGCATACATCCAAGAGTTCTGAAAGAACTCAATTGTGAACTTGTGGATCTCCTGACAAAAATATGTAATCTCTCCTTAAAATCAGCCTCCATTCCTGAGGACTGGAAGGTAGCTAATGTCACTCCCATCTTTAAAAAGGGTTCCAGAGGAGATCCGGGAAATTACAGGCCTGTCAGTCTGACGTCGATACCGGGTAAATTGGTGGAAACCATTATTAAGGAAAGAATTAGTAGGCACATAGATGAACAAAACCTATTGAGGCAGACTCAGCACGGTTTCTGTAAGGGAAGATCTTGTCTCACTAACCTGTTAGTGTTCTTTGAGGGGGTGAACAAACATGTGGACAAGGGGGATCCAATAGATATTGTTTACCTTGACTTCCAGAAAGCTTTTGATAAAGTTCCTCATCAAAGGCTCCTAAGCAAGCTCAAAAATCATGGGATAAAAGGACAAGTCCTTTTATGGATCAACAACTGGCTAATTCATAGAAAACAGAGAGTGAGTATAAATGGGCAGTTCTCCCAGTGGAGGGGTGTAAGCAGTGGGGTACCACAGGGATCAGTACTTGGTCCACTGCTTTTTAACTTGTTCATTAATGATTTGGAGTTGGGAGTAAGCAGTGAAGTGGCTAAATTTGCGGATGATACGAAGTTGTTCAGGGTGGTGAAAACCAGTGAGGATTGTGAGGCACTCCAAAGGGATCTGTCAATTTTGGGCGAGTGGGCGTCAACATGGCAAATGGGGTTCAATGTGGCCAAGTGCAAGGTGATGCACATTGGAGCCAAAAATCCTAACTATAAATACACGTTGATGGGGTCTGAACTGGCAGAGACAGATCAAGAGAGAGATCTTGGAGTTGTAGTAGATAACTCACTGAAAATGTCGAGACAGTGTGTGACTGCAATAAAGAAGGCCAATGCTATGCTGGGGATTATTAGGAAGGGTACTGAAAACAGATCAGCCAATATCATAATGCCCCTATATAAATCAATGGTGCGACCTCATTCAGAATACGGTGTGCAGTTCTGGTCACCACACCTTAAAAAGGATATTATAGCTTTGGAAAAAGTGCAGAAAAGGGCAACTTGGATGATAAAAGGGTTGGAACACTTTCCCTATGAGGAAAGGTTAAGGTGCTTAGGGCTCTTTAGCTTGGAGAAATGACGACTGAGGGGAGACATGATTGAGGTTTATAAGATTATGCATGGGATAGAGCAGGCAGAGAAAGAGGTACTTTTCTCCCTTTCTCACAATACAAGAACTCGTGAAATTGCTGAGCGGTCGAGTTAGAACGGATAAAAGGAAGTACTTCTTCACCCAAAGAGTTTAACACATGGAATTCACTGCTACAGGAAGTGGTGGCGGCTAGAAGCATGGACGGCTTCAAAAGGGAATTAGATAAGCATATGGAGCAGAGGTCCATCAGTGGCTATTAGCCACAAGGTATAGATTGGGACTCTGGGGCAAGTGATGCTCTGTCATCTTGGTGCTTGGGGGGGGTCAACAGTGGGAGGGCTTCTAATGTCCTGGCCCCACTGCTGGACCTCCTGATGGCATCTGGTATTTCTGGCCACTGTGTGACACAGAGTGTTGGGCTGGATGGGCCTTTGGCCTGATCCAACATTGGCGTCTCTTATGTTCTTATGTTCTAATATACTTCTTGGGAGAGTTATTTCCTTTACTCAGCATCATGCTTCTGTGACTGGGCAAACTCTGCTATATGCACCAAATATCCCAATAGTAAGGACAGGTGGTTTCTAAAAGTGGCGGGTGGCACTGATTGCATGGATCTTTCCCATAAAATCAGCAGTCGGTACGAGAGCCCCAGCTACTCATCTATCACTTGAGATTCCTCCCAACCAATGCTCCCTCTAAGCTGTGGAGTCTTGTGAGCAAAAATTCTACGTTGTGAGCTACTGGCATTAAAGTGGTGAGCGAGCGATTTGGCTGCTGCATCCATGATTTTGCTCTGGAGTGCCCCATCCTTCCTGAGCGAAGACAAAAATGTGTGAGCTGGGGGCTAAAAAATGGCGAGCTAGCTCACGCTAACTCAGCTTAGAGGGAACCCTGCTCCCAACTGCTTGATTATCTAGTGCATTTGTATCCTGGCCTTCCTCCAAAGAGCTCAGGGTGCAGTCCCATAGCTAGGGGCCGGGAGAGGCGAGGCTCGCAGCGACTGGGCTGGCCACGAATGTGCTGCGCACAGGCTCTTTGGAGCACTGGGGCGAGCAGGCTTGGCCGGGGACAGAGGAGGCGGCTGCCTGCCTCCTTGCCTTGCCTGGCTTACTTGCTGTTGGAGAGCTATGCAGTGAGTGTCTCATGGAAGCCCGAGATGGAGGCTTCTAGGCTTCTCCCTGCACCTTCCATGTTCACTGCCTGCCCGGGTCTCTCTCTCAGCTCAGCTTGGCTGCCGCTGCAGCTTGTGGTTGCCCTTGTCCACCCTGCTGACAGGCAATTGAGGGGGGGGGCTGGGGGGAGGGGGAGCCAAGGCTTTGGGAGGGCCCATAAAACCTGCTAGGGGGTCGAGCCCCATGAGCCCCACGGTAGCTACGGGCCTGTCAGGGTGGTGTGCATGGCTCTCTCTTCCCTGTTCTATCCTTTAAGGCAGATAGGCCCGGGGAAGAGGCGCTGGTCACACAGTGAACTCCATGGTCAAGGGGGGAACCGAATCGGGGCATCCGAGGTCCAAGTCCAGCCCTCCACAGACCACCCCACGCGGGCTCCCTGCTGGATCTTCTCGGGGATAAGCAGTTTCCTTGTGGTTGGGAGAACTATTAAAGGGGCACCTAAAAGACATTGAGGAAGAGGGTCTGGAAGCAGCCTCCGAAAAAGCAACGCTGATCTTGACTAGGTTGGCCCTTACGGTTTGCTCTCTGAGCTGGCTGTGCTCAAGGAGCCTCTTTAGAATGAGCTCAGTGGTAGAAGAGTCCGGCTTCACCTCCAAAGCGCCATCCACTTCCATCACACGGTCAGACTTTGGCGATCGACTTGGGGAAGGGGCAAATATTAGTGTGGTGTGCTCTTTCTCTTTCTCCTCTTCCACTCCGTTGAAGGTGTCTCCGTTCATGCTGACTTTTCCGTCTATCTGTGGGGCACAACGGAAACAGAAAGTGTATGCAAAAGGCTCCGAGCACAGCCTTTGTTTTTTCTACAGAGAAAGCGACAAAGACTTCTCCGTGAATTCCGTGAGCATGCTGAGACCCTTCTCTTGAACTGTTTCGATGCCCCGCCCAAGTTACACCAGCCAGGCCTGTAGCCAGAATTTTTCCCCCTCAGGGGGCATTTAAATTTCTTAGGGGCACTTAAGTTAATTAAAGTTATTCAATGACTTAATAAATATTTTAAAATGCTTTCTGGCATGGCTTTTGTGGCCCCCCCACGGCTTTTAATTAAGGGGGCATGGCCCCGAAATGCCCCACTGTAGCTACAGGCCCAATGCCAGCAGCAAGGAGGCTGCTGGTCTGTGGCTTCATATCACACTTGCAGGAACAATCCTTAGGGCCAGCCTACACATTGCAAAGTCCTTGCGCTTGTTGACGGATGGCATGAGGACTTTGCATCAGATGTTCGATGAGAGTGATGCATCTCTCAGATCCATGTGTGCCCTTGTTCACTTCATGGGTAGAAGTGGCTTCAGCTTTCCCTTTTATCATTCCTGCATCCTTAGACTGCCTTTCCTTTGCCATCAAGTCGCAGCCGACTTACGGAGACCTCACAGGGCTTCCAAGGCAAGAGACGAACAGAGGAGGTTGGCCATTGCCTGCCTCTACACAGCAACACTGGACTTCCTTGATAGTCTCCCATCCAAGTACAAACCAGGACCGACCCTGCTTAGCTTCTGAGATCTGGTGAGATTGGGCTAGCCTGGGCCATTCAGGTTCAATTAAATCAATTAAAATATTTTAAATCAATTAATCTAACTGGCTGCTCGACTAAATATTGCAGCCCTAGCAATGGTGACAATTGGAATGCCTCCTTATTGACAGTGGTGACGTTTAATCGTCCTTCCTTGGTTTCAAAGTATCTGGGGAAGCCGTGAAATTCAGCCTACCTTAAAGCTTTTCAAAACCTGCGGTGTGTTTTTCGGCTGTGAGTAAGGCTTGGGCGTCAGCATAGGCACGGCCTTGTAGACAACAGGTTTGCTCGGAGAGGTGCGGCCCGATGAAACGCTGGCTTCCAATTCGCTGGTGGGGACGATGGTTGCCTCTATCTTGGCAGTGTATTTGGGGGTGGGGAGCGACTGTTGCCGTAAGTATCGCAGAGGGTTCGGGTCCTTAGGCGGGGATGTTGAGTTTGGCTGGGCTGAATGGCTTCTCTCCAGAATTTTTGGCATCTCCAGGCGTTCAAGCACAGCTTCGCTAATGGTGAACCTCTCGATGTATTGTTGGAGGATGCTCTCCGCCTCTTCGTGCGACCTGGCGTTCTTGTAGGCCTCATGCAGCTCTCTCTCTCGCCTCTCTCTGGTGTGGGAACAATAGAAGGAAGACTGCTATAAAACGACCGAGTTCTAACACGCTTGAGCAAGAAAGGAATCGCCACTCGTTTCTAATTTGCTGATGATCCTGGCAAAGCTGTATCCAATATCTACTGTCTGTTTCAGTCAAGATATTTAAGAAGGGGGGTGGGTGGGTGCGGCCATAGCGTTGTGGCTAGTGGCTCAAACTAGGATCTGCAAGACCCGAGTTCAAATCCTCACTCAGCCATGGAAGCTCGCTGGATGACCTTGTACCAGTCGCGCTTTCTCAGCCCAACCTACCTCACAGTATCTGACGAAGGGAGCTCTGGCTCTCGGAAGCTCAAGCCCTTGGAAATCTTCTTGATCTTTAAGTTCCTACCTGATTCAAATCTAACTCTCCTACCTCACAGGAAGAAGAGGAGGAGATGGGATTTATACCCCACCCTTCACTTGGAGTCTCAGAGTGGCTTACAATTTCCTCCCCTTCCTGTCCCCACAACAGACATCCTGTGAGGTAGGTGGGGGCTGAGAGAGCTCCAAGAGAACTGCTCTTGAGAAAACAGCTCTGAGAGAACTGGAGCAAAAATAACAAGCGATTGTCGATGATCGGGTCCCCAAGCCTTGATCACAATCGGGACCTATCAATCGAGTCAAAAGCAGCAGCCAGATCAACAAAGGCTACATACAGGGCCTTCAGTGGGCCTTGAATACCTGAAAATGCCAACTGATGAAGTGTTAGGCAGTGATCAGTGGTACTTAATCCTTTCCTAAGACCTGCTTGGACAGGGTAGATAATCTGGTTCTCAACTACCCAGTCTTCCAGTGTAGCCAGCAGGTATTTGCCATCTAGCTTTTAACCTACAGCTTGCTCACAGTTTGTGTGTTGTAATTTTGTAATGGCCAATGGCTAATTACAATAAACTAAACTGAAACTGAGAGAACTTGTGACTGACCCAAGGTCACGCCAGCTGGCTGCATGTGGAGGAGTGGGGGAATCGAACCCGGTTCTCCAGATCAGAATCCGCCACTCTTAACCACTACACTACACTGGCTCCAAACAGGGTGGTTGTTGTGTGTATAAAATGAGGAGGGGGAAAACCTTTAGGTTCCCACTGGAGAGAAAAGCAGGATATAAACAAATACACAAATGGTGTGTGTGTGTGTGTGGGGGAGTGTTTACACAATTAGCAGAACCATGTGGTGCAGCTTTGGTGTACACCACCACAAGCTGCAGGTGGGGAGACCACACATCTAAAAACTCACCCCTATCAAGCACCAGAAACACAGAGAGCTAGCATGCATCAGGCAGAAAACTGAGCTCAGTTCTCTCCTCCCTCTAGCTTCCTGTATGCATGCAGTGATGTTGTTTTTTTAAATAGTATTCAAAATACTTCATCACTTCGTCAGCTTGGCACCGTTCAGGGAGCCTTGCTGTGCGATTCAGCCGGTTGTGCAAACAGCCCCATTATTATTTAATGTTAAATCATTCATTCATTAGTCCGTTAGTCCGTTCATTCGTTCGTTCACCCGTTCATTCATTGGATTTATCTGCCGCCTCTCCAGAGACCTGTTCAAGCTGGCCGACATCAAAATAAAATAAATCAATAGTATTAAAGATGCTGCTAAAAACAAGCCCGTAACGTTTATTAGATTCCATTTCTTGGCCCCAGATAACAAACCCATACTTCAGCTTATCAAACGTTCCATCGCTTGCTTTACCAACACCTGCAGATGTTGGTAAATTCTTTGACATCACAAAAGGGGTCACTTTACTAATCTCCATGCACTGTCACAGACTCTCCACAGAGCTGCAAATACTGACATGAGGGCTCTTTTTGTAGCAGGAACTCCTTTGCATATTAGGCGACACACCCCCTAATGTAGCCAATCCTCCAAGAGCTTACAGTACCCCTGTGATAAGAGCTATGTAAGCTCTTGGAGGATTGGCTCCATTAGGGGGTGTGTCGCCTAATATGCAAAGGAGTTCCTGACATCCCCCTAAGAAACTCAGAGCAGCGTACATGGTGCTTCCTTCCTCAGGACAACCCTTTGAGAGAGGTTAGATCACGGGATCTAACCCAAGTTTCACGGCAGAATGCGGGTTCTCTAGTCCAACATGCTAACCATTGTACCTAACTGACTCTCTACCGTGATCAAGGATTAAGAGTCATGCAACACTGGTATCATTAGGAGAACATACTTCTCTTCCACAATCTCTTTGTAAGTCTTGATGCTTTTCCTTCGCTCACTGGTCACATCGCCTGTGCTTAGTAGCCGTTCCATCTTCTTCCTCTCGGCTTCTTTCTTCAACAAATCCTGCGATGCGCTTCTCCGACGACTCTTCCACCTGGCTAAGTCCTGGGGGGGGGGAGGCAAAAAGCTGAAAACTGACCCTGTGAAATAGGGTAGGCTTAAAGACAGTGGGTTGGATCCACCTATGATTTCCAGTGGTGAAAAAGAGGTCACCAAGAAGGCTATGCTGGGAGACACAGGGGACCTGCATGGGCAAAAGTCATGTGTGCCGTGGGCTGTAGTAAGGAAGAGAATTGAGTAAAACTGAGAGGAAAAAGCTGTCTGGATCCAATCCAGTGGTTTGACCAGTGGGCTACAGCTGAGTTGGAATTTGAACCTAGGCCTCCCGGAAGAAAGCCAACACCCCGTCCTTGGCTTAGTTGATCTCTCTTTCTGGCATGACAAGCAATGCACTGAAATATGCACTTGCCATTCCTAGATTTAATGCACTGTCCCCTCCACAGCTCCAGAAGGAAGATGCTGAATCATAATGTATGTTTATGTGAAGTTCTAGGAAAGCTGCAGCTTTGTTATGCTACCTGTTTTATTACCATATCAGTGTATACTTCCAGAGACATTTTTACCTATTAGTTGCTGTAGATTTTCCGGGGTTGTGTGGCCGTGGTCTTGGCATTGTAGAACCTGACGTTTCGACAGTAACTCTGACTGGCATCCTCAGAGGTATACCAACTCAGAAAGATGGAGTACTCTCTGTGTCAGAGTACTCTCTGTGTCTCTCCTTGACACAGCAAGTACTCCATCTTTCTGAGTTATACCTCTGAGGATGCCAGTCACAGTTACTGGTGAAACATCAGGTTCTACAATGCCAAGACCACGGCCACACAACCCCGGAAAATCTACAACAACTAATGAACTCCGGCCGTGAACGCCTTCCACAACATATTCTTACCTATGTTACTGAAAGAGATCATTCTTATTTTTCAACACCCCCCCAATTAATTTACTTCCTAAAGATTACGAGTATGTTCTACAGATCAAAAGTTTCTTTGCCTCAAAAGGTAAAGGTAAAGGTTCCCTTGCTCGAAAGCCAGTCGAATCCGACTCTAGGGTTGCGGTGCTCATCTCCGTTTCAAAGCCGAAGAGCCAGCGCTGTCCGAAGACGTTTCCGTGGTCATGTGGCCGGCATGACTAAACACCAAGGCGCACGGAACGTTGTTACCTTCCCACTGAAGTGGTCCCTATTTATCTACTTGCAATTTCTTGCTTTCGAACTGCTAGGTTGGCAGGAGCTGGAACTAGAGACAGGAGCTCACCCTGTCACCCTGTCTTGCGGCACCCGGGTCTTTGCCTTGGCTCTGACCAAAACACAACAGAACTATATTAAAATGTATGTGTTTAAAATTTAGATTTAGACAAACGATTAAGACAATATTCAGGTTTTAACGATGATTTAATTTGAGCATAGATGTTTATTTAACTGCTAAAGATGTAATCTCTTTTATTGCTAATAGATTATCGCTAACATTAGGAAAGTTTTTGTTTATTCTTTTAAAGAGGAAATCTATCCACAAACACTATAATATTGATGTTTTATTGTTTTTTTCTATATTTGAAAAAGGAGCTGCAGTGGCTCAAGTGGTTAAGACGCTGAACTGCAGGCTGTGGAAGGTTGGTAGTTCAGCAGTTCGAGACCTGAGTGTGCCACGTGACGGAGTGAGCTCTCGTCTCTAGTTCCAGCTCCTGCCAACCTAGCAGTTCAAAAGCAAGAAATTGCAAGTAGATAAATAGGTACCACTTCAGTGGGAAGGTAACAGCGTTCCGTGCGCCTTGGTGTTTAGTCCATGAAAACGTCTTCGGACAGTGCTGGCTCTTCGGCTTTGAAATGGAGATGAGCACCGCAACACTAGAGTCGGATTTGACTGGCTTTCGAGCAAGGGAACATTTACCTTTACCTTCTATATTTGAAATATGTAATACGTCTGATAATACATTTGATTTTACTCGTGGTATGTAACAACTCATAATATTTGATGCACTTGATGAATCTATATTTTCCCCTACCCCTTCTTCCCTTTTGTATTCCACTTTTTTCGAGAAAATTTAAAAAAATAATAAAAAAATAAAATGTGTGTGTTTAATGGCTACTTCAAGTAGCCCTAAGATTGCTAATCAGGGTTTCTGTACTGAAAAATTAGTTTTGTCCTATTCATTAGATGTTGTTATTGCCTTGTTTTAATTTTATGCTGTCTTTTGCAAAGGCAAAAGCTAACCAAAGTGTGATTTGATTCCACAGACTTATGTAGTCCAAACGGTAATACTGTTTCAATCGGAAAAACAGAGGCTGACTTAAAAAAAAAAGACATGTGTTGCCAAGGTGAAAACTGTTTTCTCTGAACTTTGTTATGCTTTTCTGAATGCAATCAACTGCTGTTCTAAAAAGTTTATTTGCTTCATTACTGGCCTCCTGAGAGCCTCCTGAGCACACCTCAGAGACGGCGGGAACTTGGACCGATTTCTGTGAAACGTGAGCTTGCCAGACAGACGCATGCAAGATGTTTGGGTGCTTTACGCAAGAACTTCCCTGAATATAATAGCAAACAATTTAAGCATTGGCTGGCACAGAATGGCACTGTAATATCCGACACCTAAAGCATCTTGCAGATGTATCCTTAACTGAAGGGACACTGCATAGAAGAGGCAGATCATGGATTTCTCCTTTGATCACTTTTCATGCACGAGATGCTTCTCACAGTTGGTAATGTCTCCACATTCCGTAAGACAAGTGTGACTGTGAGCTGGCTCACAGATGTCGCCGCACTGGATTTTCTCCACATAATTATCCCTTTGTTAGGCTTGTGGCTAGTTTCATGTGAGCCGGAAGTCAGCACAAACATGTCTACAGGCTACTGTAATGTCTGCAACTGCGAGAACTCAAATGTAGTTCTGATTCACACAGAATGAACTCCATGCGGCTAGAGCCACTTGCAAGCCGAAGGAGGATCATACAGCTGTTTCAGGACAGGTGAGCCATTCCTTTGGGGATGCTGCAAGGAATCTGCACATGTCAATCACTCCAAAGGCATGCTGACACTGCAGCTTAACGCAAATTAAATATGCAGGGTACACGTGTGTTTTTGCAGGGCTCATGCTGCCTTTGTGCCTGACAGGCTAGTTAAGCATTACACATGACGGTTTATATCAATTATCTCTGCATTTCCACAGCGACAGCCATCACATGCTAAAAAAAGATTACTTCCAAGCTTTATTTCCTCTCTGCCCTCGAAAAATGGTTTGCTTCTGTAATAACCCCTTAACAAGAAGGGGGCGGGGATTAAAAGGGAACTGCAGTGAAAATATGTACCAAAAATAAACACAATAGTGAAAACGGTAAGGAAAAAGGCCCACTTTAAAAACGGTTAAAAACAAAAATGCATAGAACTATAATACACCCCATGAATCCCCACCCCGCAAAAAAAGCATTAGGAACACCAACAAAACTTTTTGTAATGATATCAACTATTTCCTAAAAAGACTGGGAGGGCCAGAAACGTTCTTAGCAGTCAACAGTTTCTGGTGGGACCGGGTAGCCGCTGTCTGTGCATCAAGCTTAAGAAGATTATTCTGCTGCTTAGCCCAAATTGCGAGTGGAAAGACTTGGGGGGGGGGGGGAGCTGGCGCACCGACAACCGTCTCATACTCACGTCTTGCCATCGATCCTCATCTTCCTTCAGCTGGTGGTGAATGGTCTGCAGCTTCTCGTGGCGAGCTTTGCTGTGCGGCTGCATGACTGCAGCCTCGTCTGTGCATCTCATATCGAACATGCTCACGCTCCTGAATGAAGGCAAAGAAGGGTTACTCGTCGTGGATATGGGCAGAAGCTGAAACATTTCAGCCACAGGAGGGCGCTAGAGCAAAATTAAACACATTCCCACTTAAAACCTTCAACATCTGTCATAGCTTATGGCGGTGGCTTCGGATGTACGCTTGCCACATGAAAAGCCTGGTTTTTTTATGCGTATGTGCAGTGCTTAGCACCAGACATACGAATGTGCATGCAAATTGCTTGCTTGTGGTGCATTCTAGTAATGCACCACTAAAAAAGAAATGCTAGAGGCTTCTTTTGGTTTGGGTATTTAATGTGGATCCAAGACAGTCCTGGATACCCAGAACAGGGCCATGTGTCTCAGCTGTCCCTTGTTTAAGCAGCAGTGTAGCAGTGTCTGTAATGATCTGTCCTGAGCTAATGGCCTTCTGTAAACCAGAGGTTTTCAAACTGTGTTCAGGGGGAACCTGTGGAAGCTTTCTCAGAAGTTTCTACATGAGAGCACACAAGTAATTCCTGAATGACAGCATGCTCACCTTTGCTGATCTTCCCCAGCAATATACAGCTACAGAAGAACATCAGGAGTGTTTCAAGTCAGAGTGATTTCTCACGAGAGCTGCCTCGCAGCACAGCGCTGTTTGCCTCGACACAAACGTGTCAATTTCACACCCGAAGCTCCGGGGCTGCATTTGACTCAGGGCTTCGCCTGATTTCCTCCGCAGTTTCATGATCCTCAAAAACCAGGATCACGAAACTGCGGAGGAAATCGGGCGAAGCCCCGAGTCAAAATGCAGCCCCGGAGCTTCGGGTGTGAAATTGACACGTTTGTGTCGAGGCAAACGGAGGCGCTGTGCTGCGAGGCAGCTCTCGTGAGAAATCACCCATATTCTTGGTTCTGATGTGGCGACAGTGAGACTGACCAAGCCTCATTAGTGCTCCATGTTAAATGAGCATGTGCATCAGAACCTCCTCCAAGAATCAGTGCACAGGGGCTCTCGATCAAAAGCTAAGAAACTCCCTGGCATGCAGACTTGTGTGAAGAGAAAACCATTTCTCAAAGGCAGAAAGTTTGAAAACCACTAGTCCTAACCTTCAGATAGGAGAGGGTCATGAAATACTTTACTCTGAGCAAAGTTTCCTGCAATACTGTTTCTGAAACAACTGGAGGGTCTGCTCAGGTTTCCTGACTGCTGAGAGATAGTTGGGCCCGTACTGTAGTTTAAAATGCCAATGGCAAGTAAGCAGTGAGAGTCACCTCTATCAAGCGCACATATGAATGAGCGAGCATACGAGCGAGTGAGCGCATACGAGCGAGTGGGCATACCCATGGCTTTTCTGTTATTTTCTTTGGGAAAACCCAAGGTTCCACCAGCATGTATTAATGCATTGTTAGATGAATAGCAACAGTAATATTCTGATTAAAGACCAGCTTCTTTTTTTGTTTTGCATGATGATGTTAGCAGCTCATTATTGACGTTAGGCAAAATAAAGTGTTCTAAGCACGTGCAGTACAACTCAAAGACAGAATACACGGCTGGTTATTTTCCAGTCCGTGTTTATGGAATGTGGACCATTATTTCTGATTGCCTTTGGAGGGAAAACTGAACAAGGTAAAATGTTTTAAAAGCTACGGCAAATAACACACATGGAGCTGCCTTCTACTGAATCAGACCATTGATCCACAGAGGTCAGTAATTGTCTACTCAGATTGGCAGCGGCTCTCCAGGGTCTCAGGCAGAGGTCTTTCCCATCACCTACTGCCATCAGGTCTCAGGTTCAATCCCTGGCAATTTATTAGCCGTGGTTTTGGTTTTATGTGTGTTTATATGTTTTTACTGAATTACTTTATACAAGTGTGGGCCCACAAAACCCGTGGGGGTTGGGTTCCTCCCCACTTTTTGCCAAACCCAGGGCAGCAGCCGGGCAGTGCCACTGCTGCCACCAGGCCCAGTGAGGTCTATGGAGTCCTCCAATGACCACCGGCAGCACGTTTGTTCTCTGCACTTCTGCAGAGAAAAGGGGGAAATACATCCGTGGCCAATCGCAACCCATTTACTACCGGATTTCCCCCGATGCTTTCTACTCCACTTCTGCGGTGGAGCAGAACATGCTGCTGATGGCTGTGGGGTATGCTTCCCAGAAGTTGTTGTCTGATCGTGCCCTTTAAATCCGTCCGGCATTCGTGCCTATGGCAGGTCTAATTGTGTGTATGATCGCAGCCCCAGTGTATTCCTTTTTAAATTTCAGTTTTTTCTGCAAACTTGGGCAGTCATCCAGGTTTGCAGAAAAATCTGTTTTGGGTAAGTGTGACCCTGATCCATGGACTTGGGCATCTGCAGATGAGGCTCACACTTGAGAAATAAGATACATAAATATATTTTGTTTTAAATGCTGTTTTAATGTTGAACTGTATAAAAGGCTTAATGTTTGCCACCTTGGGGACTCTGGGTAGAGAGGTGGCATATAAATGTCTTACATAAATAAATATTGTGTTATTTGCACACTGCTGTCAAGTCGCAACCGAGTTATTGCGACACCAGAGGGTTTTCAAGGCAAGAGACTAGGACTGATTTCATACTAAAGCTGCCTCGATGTTGCGTTGCTGTTTGCCCCGATACTACTGGTCAATTTCACACCCGATACTACTGGTCAATTTCACACTCAAAAAACAGGATCACGAAACTGTGGGGGAAATCGGGCACCGCAGCTTCGGGTGTGAAATTGACCAATAGTATCGGGGCAAACGGCGGCGCAACATCGAGGCAGCTCTAGTGCGAAATCAGCCTAGCAGAAGTGGTTTGCCATTGCCTCTCTTTCCATGGCGACCCTGGAATTCCATGGCCATTTCCCATCCAAATTCTGACCAGGGCTGACCCTGCTTAGCTTCCGAGATCGGATGAGATTGGGCTAGAGGCCGTCACTACAGGCACACAAAACACGTTGCTGAAAACAAACCTGGGAACTAAACCTAATGAAACTGGCGATGCAAAGCCTTTGCTGAAAACAGCACCCCTGTCGCTCCTGTCCTCTTTCCTTCCCGTTAGCAAATCAGAATGTTTGACACAATATCATTGCATTTTAAACATTACAGGGGAGAAAAGAGGAGACGAAACAGGGTTGCTGTCCTCGCGCTGACCATAAAATGCCATTCTCTGGCCTAACTCGTCTTCTAGCAAAAAGGAAGTGGTCATCTTTCAGCAAAGAGCAAGTGGTGTGTTTCTGCTTCCACAGACAATCTGATGCGGAGAGCATATTTAGCATAGTAGCTAGGAGACTGGTCAGGGAATAGGGTTGCCAAGTCTAAAAATCTACTTACCGGGGGACTCCCGGTCTGCGGCTGGAGTGCGCGCACCGCACGCACGTCACCAGGAAGTGACGTTATGAAGCCGGGCACGCTGGGGGCGGGGCCACGACCATCTGAGGGAAAACCATAGAGTTTTCCCTCAGATGACAGTGGCCCCGCCCCCAGCGTGCCCGGCGTCATAACGTCACTTCCGGGTGATGCGCACGCCGGGGTGGGGTTCCCCCCGGGGCCCGATCCGCCGGTGGCGGGGAACAGGCCTCTGGGCCAGGGGGCGGGGACTTGGGAAGCCTATCAGGAAATCCTCCACTGGAACCTCACCTCTGCCACAAACTTACTAGAGTCCTGTTCACATGATGCAGTAAATGTGACTACATCTGTAGCAGTAGAAAAGAGCAAGAGTCCAGCGGCAGCTTAAAAGACTAACAAACTGTGTGGCAGGGGATGAGCTTTCGGGAGTCACGGCTCACTTTTTCAGAGACAGCTGGAATGTGAATCCACCTGTCCTATGTATTGGAAAGTGGAGTGATTTCAGATGCCCAATGACATTAGCAGGCAAATGACAATAGAAGGTATGATTGGATTAGATGTGATATGCACCTACTACCTCTCTGCATATCACACCTAATCCAATCACACCTTCTATTGTCATTTGCCTATTCATGTCATTGGGCATCTGAAATCACACCATGTTCCAAAACATAGGACAAATGGACTCACGTTCTCGCTGTATCTGAAGAAGTGAGTAGTGACTCATGACTACCCTGCCACATATTTTGTTAGTCTTTAAGGTGCTACTGGACTCTTACTCTTTTCTATTGCTACAGACAAACATGGCTACCCGTTGTTAATACATCTGTTTGTAAGAAGGAGCCAATGCATGTTCACTTTGCAATTCAAACCAGGGACGAGCAACTGGATCAATGCAAGGTCTGTATCACACATTCAGCTATACATGCCTTGAATGTAACATGAGAGCTACCCTATGCATGTATTAAAAAACAAGCATCTGCCTCATCTGATACCTGGGGATATTAACAGTCACCTCCTTTCAGGTGTGCTTTACAATTTACAACAGGCTAACATAGGGTGCATTCAGACGGGCCGCTTAGTCAGCTTTCGACACGCTTTAGTAATGGATTTGATATCCACGTTCACACACCCAACATCTGCCAGCTTTCTGGCTCAAACCCCCTTTAAAATGGAGTATTTTGTTACCAGGTCCTCAAGTGGTGTTTTCCTGATTCTCCAGTTCTAGCTGCACTTTTCTGATGTCTGATTGCTCCTGCGGTGTCGAGCCACTTCCACTCGGAAGCCCACCATTTTATTTTAGCGTCGGTGGTATGCGCACAGGTGGACCTCCGCTCCCGCGTTATTAAAAACAGTGTTTAAATGGTGCCTAGTTTTGTTGGTTAGACGAGTTTGGGATCTCACAGAGGCCAGTTTCGGGGTACATGTTTAAAGGGAAGTGTTCCTTTAAAGTTTAAAGGGAAGTGTTACAGCAGTTGGGTTGAAGTGGAAATCGCTGTTCTGCGCACGTGCAAACATTTTAATTCTACAGATGGCCGCCTGTGTGCATCCCCAAACTGAGAGGAAAGAAAACATCGACGCACGCTCCCGCGTGTGGATGGCAGGGAGCGATGTGGTTGCACAGCGATCCGGAACAAGGAGGTGAGTGTGATCGCGATTCTCCAGGTTTAAAAAAAAAACACGCATCGGGACCGGAGCAATTTAAACCGCTCCCAGCACGCCGTCTGACCGCACCCATAAAGTGTTTTGAACATTCAAAAGCATTAACATGCTCATTATTAATACTGTTACCAATGTTCCCTCTAAGCTGTGGAGTCTTGTGAGCAAAAATTATATTTTGTGAGCTTCTGGCATTAAAGTTGTGAGCGAGCGATTTGGCTGCTGCATAAATTAGTTTGCTCTGGAGCCATCTTTCCTGAGCTGAGACAAAAATGTGTGAGCCGGAGGCTAAAAAACTGTGAGCTAGCTCACACTCACTCAGCTTAGAGGGAACACTGACTGTTACTCTAGGTTGGCCCTTCACTTATCAGAGGACTCTCGTTGCCTGGAAATTAAGAGACTGGCACACGATTCCTAATCACTGCACTTCAAAAAACAAAAAATGAAATGTTATTTCAATTTGCTAACTATGTATTAAAAAGATTCAGGTGGGATAGCCATGTTGGTCTAAGGCAGCAGAACAAAGTTTGAGTCCAATGGCACCTTTAAGACCAACAAAGTTTTATTCAAGGTGTGCTGGCACACAAAAGCTCATACCTTGAATAAATCATCTTTGTTGGCCTTAAAGGTGCCACTGGATTCAAACACATGCAGTTAGAGAGCACAAGATTTAAACTGCTTTCTAAGAAAGAGAGAGAGAGAGAGAGAGAGAGAGAGAAAATAATACCTGTCAAAATAAGGATTGTGTGGCTTTTGAGGCCTATCATGCTTCTGCAGTATGGTAGCGAGTCAAAGCGCATTAAGCTAAGACATCCTCTGTATCATCTTTTTTTTGGTCAAGCTTTTGACAGACCCTCAAGACAGAGTTACCATACTGTCAAAAATAATATTTTGAGTGGGAATCTGTCACTTGGGTAACTGATTCCTGTGAGACTGTAACTTCCCTGCTTCCAATCTCTGTGACATTTTTAAAATGAGCTTCGCTTCAGAAAAGAGATTTTATTTTAACTTATTTGATTCAAGTATGAAAAGGTTCAGAACAGCCAGAAGCCCGGGTCAGAAAAGCCACAAAGGGCTTCCGTCTCCACAAAACTCTCCCGGGCATATTTACACTGCAGACAACATTGGGAAACTGTGGTTTCAAAAGAAGAGGGAGTAGGGATTTATGACAGAAAATTATGAGCAGCTTTACCAAACCACAATTCCTAGGATCCTTTGTGGGAAGCCATGACAGATGCATTGCTTTAAAATGAACCTACATTGCAGAACAAATATGCCCTCTGACATCTACCGTCACTTATCATATTTCTGGTTACTACATAAAAGGGGTCTCTATACCCACTGCGGTATAGACGAGCTGCGGTGGCTCAAGTGGTTAACACGCTGAACTGCAGGCTGTGGAAGGTCGGTAGTTCAGCAGTTCGAGACCCGAGTGTGCCGCATGACGGAGTGAGCTCCCGTCTCTCGTTCTAGCTCCTGCCAACCTAGCAGTTCGAAAGCAAGAAATTGCAAGTAGATAAATAAGTACTACTTCAGTGGGAAGGAAACAGTGTTCCGTGCGCCTTGGTGTTTAGTCATGCCGGCCACATGACCACGGAAAATGTCTTCGGACAGCACTGGCTCTTCGGCTTTGAAACAGAGATGAGCACCGCAACCCTAGAGTTGGATTTGCCTGGCTTTCGAGCAAGGGAACCTTTATCTTTATACCCACTGTAGGAGGGGGAACTGGGACAGAAATTCTCAATTAAAATTAATTAATGTAGCCAGTTCTTGAGGTGAAAAAGCATACGTCTGAGGTAATACTGTAATTAAATATGCATTCCCCCATTCACTGTCAACAAATATTTCATGTAGGGATACAGTAAAAGATTTTTAGCCTTGCTTTCAGTTCCTTTCGCTCGTAAGTGCTAACGTTTTAAAATGATGTCATACTACAGGAAAACAATGAAACACCTAATTATTAGTGGTATTTTTTACATCAAAAGGAATGGAGGCTTTCCTTTGGGACATCATAAGAAGTGCGATAGACTTTTGTTTCTGTTAATGAAAAGTCTATGCTAGTTCCTTTCTTATACATTTTTAAATCAAAGGCCAGAGAATTTTATTGCCTGGAATAAAAGGCTGTACCAAGAGTAAGCGTTGGCTATAAAAGGACAACTAAGTATCAGGGCTAGGCCAGTGTTTTAGGCATCTGTAACGGACTCAGGGTTTTCAATGAGTGTTTTCTAGCCTTGGGTTCTTGAGGTTAGTTGCTGGAAGCTGGAGTCAAATACAAATACAAATACAATACCTTTATTGGCATACTCTGGAAGCTGGAGTCACTGTACCTCCAGTCTCCCTTTCTCACAGTACAAGAACTCGTGGGCACTCAATGAAATTGCTGAGCAGTAGGCTTAGAACAGATTAAAAGAAGTACTTCTTCACCCAGAGGGTGCGTTCAGACGGGGCGTTTCTGCCGGCATAAACTGCACCGGTTGGAACCGGTGCAGTTTCTGCCGGCAGAAACGTGATCACACTTACCCTCCATTTTGCGGAGCCCTCCGTTGGACGCCCGCTCACACGCTGTGGGCGTCGGCGTTTTTTTTTTTTAAAGGACAGTTTGAGCATGCGCATAGGCAGCCATTCAGAGAATGGCGATTTTTGCGCATGCTCAACCCTCCCCCCCATTACATTTAAACTTTAAAGGTTAAGGACTTACCTTTAAAGTTTAAAGCCCAACCTGGCCTCCCTGTAGTCCCGGACTCCTCCAGGAAGTTAAAGTAAGGGGTTTTAAAAATTATTTTAACAAACGCTCAGGGCAAAGCTTCGCCCGAGTGCATATCGCTTGGCTTAAAAAAAAAATGGCGGGGGAAAGCCGGAAGCCTCAAGCTTCCGATGGAAGTAGCTGGAGAACGGTGGAGAGCGATCAGGCGCCGGGGTGCACCGTTGCACTCAGTTTTCCACCAGTTGGGACCTAGTGGCAGAGTGCAACGGTTTAAAGGGATTTACAACGGTTAGGAACGGGAGGCAGATGTTCGCTGTGTGAACACCCGTAAGTACACCGGTTGGAACCGGCACCCTAACCGTTGTAAATCCCCCGTCTGAACGCACCCAGAGTGTCATTAACACGTGGAATTAACTGCCACAGGAAGTGGTGGCAGCTACAAGCATGGACGGCTTCAAGAGGGAATTAGATAAACATATGGAGCAGAGGTCCATCAGTGGCTATTAGCCACACGGTATAAATAGGAACTCTCAGGCTGGGGCAGGTGATGATCTGTATTCTTGGTGCATGGGGGGGCAACAGTGGGAGGGTTTCTAGTGTCCTGTCCCCACTAGTGCAGCTACTGAGGGAGGTCCCCACTGGTGGACCTCCTGATGGTCCCTGGTATTTCTGGCCACTGTGTGATACAGAGTGTTGGACTGGATGGGCCACTGGCCTGATCCAACATTGGCTTCTCTTATGTTCTTATGTTCTTATTCATAGGTGACACCGAATGCACACACACACTGCAGTGTAAGTGCTCTCACCGGTTTGTAAGAAAGAGCTAAAATGCATTCACTTTACAAATGAAACTGGGGATCGGTCTCTAGATAAATGAGGGGTTTAAATAGGGTTGCCAGGTCCCCTCCGGCCCCTGGTGGGAGATGGGGGGGGAGCCAGGCTGGGAAACTCCTGAAGATCTGGGGGTGGAGCCTGGGGAGGACAGAGACCTCAATGGGGTGCAATGCCACAGAGTCCACCCTCCAAAGCAGCCATTTTCCCCGTGTAGTCTGGAGGTAAGATGTAATTCTGGGTCGCATCAGGAGGCTGGCATCCCTGAGTTCAAATCACACTTTCACCTATACAGGAGTTGAATGTAACATGAGAATCATTCAACACATATATAAATAAAAAACCAAGTGTACACTGCGTATAGATTGTATGTGCCTTCACTGTGACAACTGGAGAGGGCTAACTTCTGCACAGTGCACACTTGATTCTTCTTTATACTTGCACTGAGTAATTCTCATGTTACGTGCAACACAGGTACATGTACAGCTGAATGTGGGACTGAACCCCGCATTGATCCATCGACCGAGCCCTGGTTTCATTTGCAAAGCGAACGCACACTGGATCTTTCTTACAAGTACTTCCCAGCTCAGATTTGCTCCTCTCGAGCCGCTTATCTCCTTGTGGAGGAGACAAAGATGGATAACTGTATCTTTTATAGGTAGGAAGGCTGCCCTTTTGAGCAGATCAGCAACAGGATGGGAAAGGGTTCAGCCATCCCCTCCCTGTACGGCATCAAGTCTGGCCCTCAGAGACCCTCAAAGGACAACTTAACTGTGCTTTGGCTACTGAGTCTGAAAACTTCCCTGGATTTTACAACTCAAAGAGCTAGGCTGCTCTTACCACAATTCTAATTCTCATTTCTTTAGTCACAGCTTTATTCATGTAGCTTCAGAGACTCACAAAAATTGAGAGAGAGAGAGAGAGAGAGAGAGAGAGAGAGAGAGAGAGAGAGAGAGAGAGAGAGAAAGAAAGAGAGAAAGAAAGAAAGAGAGAAAGAGAAAGAGAAAGAAAGAGAGAAAGAAAGAGAGAAAGAGAGAAAGAGAGAAAGAGAAAGAGAGAAAGAGAGAAAGAGAGAAAGAGAGAAAGAGAGAAAGAGAGAAAGAGAGAGAGAGAGAGCACACCATTAATTAAAAGAGGCCAGCTTTCACAGCAACAGTTGCATGCTTTGCTACCTTCTTTAAAAACACAATCGCTTTAATGCAACAGAGCTTATGTCACCACAGGGTAAGTTAAAGCACATGAAAGTCAAACAGCTCCGCATTAGAACAATGACAAGTAACGATGGTGCATCAGCTGCATTTTCAATTAGTGGTAAGTATGGAAGGCATGCAGCTTAAACTTGCTCAAAGCAGCCCAGTGAGCACACAACAACTTACTCTGCGTCATCAGACACAGGAGTTCTGGAGCCGAATCTATAAAACCAAATATAAAATTAGAGACTTGGAGGGGGGGGGAAGCTATCAGTTGTAACCGGGGGGTGGGGGGGGGGGGGAAAACCACAAAAATAGATCATTTTCACTTGCACTCAAATGTCTCAACCAGTAAAGGCAGCTGAAAGATTTCAAATGAGCTGAAGTCAAATAACTTTAATTCTTCACACGACTGTAACACAATTACTTTTTACAATTGAAAATGGTTTCAAAATCCAGAGCACCATAGGTGGCACCACACTGTGAAACTGCACACAGAAAGGAGTTCCTTGTAAAAAGCTGATATTAAGAAAGTATACCTTGTTTTATGAGGTGAAATACATGTGCAGTTAATCTGTATACAGGAACTTACAACAGTGTTACATTGCAGGTAATCAACATTCATGAAAGAGCCGTCAAACTCATACGCCATGCGCAGAAAGTCGTCTATGGGATGCCACTTGTAGGACAGAAAATGTTATCTGGTAACTTAATAAAACGCGTGCTGTTAAGTAGTAGGTGCAAACTAAAGGGAACATCTCCACTGAGAACTGGACACATTTGATGTTTCAATCTTTATTCCTGAACGACTGTGCAACTCATTATCCATGATTCTATTCCATTCATCAGAAGTCAAATTATAAATCAGTAAGGAAGACTCATAGCTATTTTAATTTCTTGTCAACTTGTGAAATTGTGTCTTTTTGATCTCTCGTCCATGTCCTCCAAATGCAAATGGTTCTTAAAGTTCTTTGAAAGCTCTACTTCAAGGATTGCATTAGTTTCAGAAGACACACTACTGGTATAAATGATTAAATAGTAAATCAGGCAAGAGCAACACAGATCCCCCTCTGCAGCATGCATACGCACGCACGCACACATAGACACACAACCACAAATGGCTTCAGCCAATGCAAATTACAGATCACACAGCTGCTCACATTTGAGTCTTCTCATCTTTGAGTGAAGTAGGTTCTTTGGATTTTTCCCCAAGAGCTTCCTGTGTCTCAGAAGACAAATGTCCTGTCTGGACCAGTTTGGGATCAAGCGTGTCCTTAGAAGCAGGAGAAGGTACATCTTCTCGTATTATACTAGGGGGACTCTGTCTGACTTGCTCCGGGGTGTCTTCCGATTGCAACGCAACCCTTTGAGGGCCTTCTGCACAAATCTCTGGATACACTTCCGTCCCTACTGTGTCGGTCATAACAATGCTAGAAAAAGTAATTCCGTTTTAGCTGGTATCGAACCACGGCATACTGGCATCTCTTATGTATCAAGTTACGCATTTCTAACTGATGCAGAAGATAGCAGGCATGGTTACGTCACAACGCGTGCACCATAAGTCCAGCACAACTTTGAGTATTTGTGGCTTCAAAGTGTTTGCGCTTCCAGGCCTATCCTGACAAGAGAACCAGGCTACCTAAAGACAGCAATGATTTCTTTTTTGCCTACGGCAACAGATTTTCCATACACCAAATAGTTCATGGCCCAGGGCATAATCTGAAAGCATCTGATACAGCAACCTTGCTGAAGTGAGTCTTTGTTCCTGAGCAGGAGACTTCCAAGGAATCCTAGATAGCCTTCCTCCAGTTCCCCAAAAGAAAGCCCAGTTACAAATATGTTGAATAGTTAAGTACAAATATGTGGCCAACCAGTACCACATATGGTGTATTAGAGCTGCCAACGTCCAGTTTCAACTGATCTCCAGACTACAGGCTTCAGTTTCCCCTGGAAAAAATGGCTGCTTTGGAGGGGGGTCCCCACTGAAGTCCCTCCCCTCTCCAAATCCCACCCTCTCCAGGCTCCACCCCTAAAATCTTCAGAGGTTTCCTAACCTGGGGTTGGCAACCATAGGGTTTGTAGCAGGAGGGTCCGCAGGCCTTGCTAGAGCAGTGAGTAAGACCTATACTCCCTCCTGCCTTTCCCATACTGCACTGCTGTCTTCTCCTCAGCTCAGCAGACAATAAGTGTGTGTGTGTAATGTGCAGTATGGTGGTTCTGTCTCACAGTGTGCATGACTTGTGGCATACATGCCAAACAAAGCAGCCATCACTTATGATATACAGTTGCCAGATCTTGGAAAAATGAAGCCAGAACAATTATTTCCTCCTCATCTATACGGTATACATTTTTGCCATGAAGCAATCTTTGAACTTCACCAGTATGCTCCCACCCAAACCACCGGCAGGCAGTGACAAGCACAAGACCAAAGTGTTTGACCATCCTTCCACCCTGAGACAATCTGATTTTATAAGCCGCTCGGTGCACCCATCTTTCAGACACTCGAAGAGTCTCCCCAACCCATTATCACAAATATCTAAAAGTCATGGTTGAACACATACATAAACATGGACACACAAGAAGCTGCCTGATACCAAGTCAAAGGTCAGTATTGTCTACTCAGACAGGAAGCAGCTCTCCAGGGTCTCAGGCAGAGGTCTTTCACCATCACCTACTACCTGGTCACTTCAACTGAAGATGTCAGGGACTGAGCCTGACACCTTCTGCATACAATGCAGACACTCTACTACTGGTCATTCACATTCACTTTTCAGGGCTCTTTTTGTAGAAAAAGCCCAGCAGGAACTCATTAGCATAACAAGCCACACCCAACAGCAGAAACTCATTAGCACATTAGGCCACACCCCTGACAGCACAGCTCATTAGCACATTAGGCCACACCCCCATGTTACCAGAAGTGTGGTCATCCAGCCACACCCACCTTTTGCTTCTTATTCTGTTTACCTTGTTTGTTGTCAAAATCCAGGGCTTTTTTTGTAGCAGGAACTCCTTTGCCTGTTAGGCCACACACCCCTAATGTAGCCAGTCCTAATGAGTTTTTGCTGTTGGGTGTGGCCTGTTATGCTAATGAGTTCCTGCTGGGTGTGGCCAACCCGGGAGCCAGCCGGAACTCCGTTCCTGTGTGTTCCTGCCCAAAAATAGCCCTGAACCTCATCATACAGTTTAAGGATAACATAGTTCTTTGCGAATATCATTCCTGGTTATTCAAATACGTTGGGTGTCTCTGCATTCTTTTGACAACTTTTCCTTGGATCAGTTCAATCATCCAACTATTCTAAACAGGCTTTTCTGAAAAACCTACAATTGGAAATCATGAAGAAGGTGGGAACTCCCTTAAAGTATAAAGCTTGCCCAAGAGGGAAAACGACTGCTAGCTTCAAAAGAGAAAATCTATAGATTTGTAATTCTGTAAATATTATGAACTCATAAAAATGTTAGTAGGACTCCTATCTACATATGCATACACGAGTCATTCATGGTCTAAAAGAAAAACAAGGGTTGGCTACTGGTAGTTCCCTTGTCTGATCACCTGGAATAGACTACTACTCATCACAGGCAATCAGCTGAATGGCTGCTTACAAGCTTAATGCATCTCAGGGCGTCAAGAAACAGAAGCAGAACCGACACAGAGCAGGGGAATACAAATCCTGCCCCTTTGGGGAAATTACAGAGGAAAAGACAAGACAACAGAATGTCTTTCTGACCTCTTCACTTTCTGTTCAGTCTTTACAAGCTGCTTGGTGGTCTCCTCACCGTTCTGCTGCTTTGAGAAAGGAACCGGAAGGAATCGTCTAACATCTGGCTCAGTTTGCTTGGAAAAAGCTACGGTTCTTCTCACCATCATGTCATCTTTCCCAGGATTTCTAATCCCCATTTTGTCACCTCTTGGATCATTCTCGCGTTCGTCATGAACTTTTGATTTCCCGTGGCCATCTTCATATATCACAGAGGCACTTACAGATCCGGGTGAAGGTGCTCCATGAAAAGGTTGTGTTACGCAAGTCAACGGGGAACTTCTGCTAAGGCAATCGAGGGTACCGTTATTGGGGGAAAGGTATCTGAAGGTCAGTGATGGAACTGTAACTCAGCTACATTAGTAACGGTCATGAACTGAAGGCACACGTGATACTCGGTTGGATCCAGATGCAAAGGTTGCAGATCTCCGCCACCTTTCTGATCCCAGACAAGTTTAATACCCACGTGGGTCAGGCGGCTGCAGTGGAGAGGAGCCAAAATCACCCTCTCCTTCATTGCAGGTTACAACAGATAAATAAAAGCAGTTAAGAACAATTCCACATACTTACAGTTAAAACCCTATAGAACCCAATTAACATAGCACATGATGGCTGACAGAGAGTTTAACAAAGCTCCCAGGTGCGTGCTGTGTCTGTACTCAAAAAGGACCAGCGCACTGAGCAAGTGGGCGAAGCCACCACTGACGACACAGGTTGATATAGTGCACAACACAGGGGCGGATTCAACTCTGCTGACAGAAAAGGCAGAAAAGGCGATTTGGTCTCCTCATCCCTTCCAACTGCAGCCTCCTGACCCGCGTGGCTATTCAACTTTCCCTGGGTCTTCTCCAGGCAGGGTACATGGGAAAGATCTGCAATCCTTGTGTCCATGAGTATTATTCAATCCAATGCACGAGGGACTAGGTTACAGACATAGTTCATAATTTAAAAATAAATGTTTATTAAGAAGCAAAACTAGATCATGCAATTATTTTTTTAAAAAATCTCACACGCCGTACACAGCAAGAAGCAATTAGTTATCATCATATAATAACCCAGCATGACAAAACCCTGAAAGCCCTCTAAGCTTCTTCCAGGAAATATGGCCAGAGTTGGGCATCCCTGATCTGAAACACCCAAAGGAAAATGCTAACCCTAGGACAAACAAACTCATGTTTCCTCACCAGGGCCAGCCCCAGCTTATTTTACACCCTAGGCGAGGATCCCTTCTGGCGCCCCCCCCATGTGCCCCCCAATTTTCAAAAATAAATGCATTTTAGGAAGAATGAAAAACACAAATAATCAAGAAACTCCCAGAGTATGGGGCCGGGTGCAGCTTGGCGCCCCTAAGGGCCAGCCCGCTCTAGGCGATCGCCTAGTTCACCTAGTGAATGAGCCGGCCCTGTTCCTCACACTTCTTGCATTCTAAATCTTTAATCACCGTCTCCCCCTCCCTCCCCCAAAGGTGGCAAGTAGTGGGTTTTTATGGATAGCTTTCAATTAATTAGAAACTTCTCTCTTCTTTCTGTGGTTCAGAAGTGGAATATTGCTGCGCAGACAGCATGCAAAGCAAGCGCACAGCCTGTATCAATAATAAGATTCTCATAACTCTTGGCCTCCTATTCCTGACCTTCCTGGCTTGTGGGAACTCTTCCAAAGAGCAGTGTGCCCATGCTGTTTCAATGAATGACAACCAGCTACTGAAATGGGAGGACACAGTGTGCGAATGGGACTAGCGCACTTCTGAAATGTTCCGAGTCTCCTAGCCAACATGTCATCTCTCTCAATATCTGGGAAGCTACCATCCAACTCTTCATCACTGCTTTCGTGCCATTCGTTCAAACTGCTGGATGTTTGCTTCTGGGAATTGGCACAATCATCTGAGATGGATGAAGTATATGCATCCTTACTGGGCCATGTGATTTCGCTAGCAGTAAAAGATGGAAGGAGGAGAGAAAGCAGGAAAGGTAGTGAGAACCACATGGACTGTCATTGACTCATCTTTCCTTTCAGACTTAATCCCGGAGCTTCTTAATAGTAGAACAAACATGGAATTCTTGCTATAGTAATGGATTGGACCCTGTGTTTGGATTCACAAAAAATGGAAGCACCTTTACATGACAGAAACAAAGAGTAATCTGCATACTTCAAAAGATTCCAGAGAAAGGAACAGTAACTTGTTGTCTTCCAGCAAAGACAAGCTCTATATTGCAGTGCCAGAAGTTCACTGAATGCTATGCTACCATTTCAGGAAGAGGAGCAGAACATTTAAAAAAATTACACCAAATGCCAGAGGCAGTAATTGTAACCAATGAGGCTTTAAAGAAGCCTTAGTAAACACTGATCAGAAAAATTGACATTTTCAGCGGATTTGGCCACACCCCAACCACTGACTAAGTCCCATTAATGATAGTCTACTGCATTGTCTATCATGGATGATAAATCCAATTGTTTGCTCTTCCATTCACCTGTTTAGCAAAGAGTACATCAATAGGAAATGCCGGATGGGATCTACCACCATCCCATTTATTTAAATTAGTGCAAAAATAGTTTGGGTAACAGGGAATCTTCAAGGGAAAGTAGATTGAGTATACATGCACATGGATGATAGCAATTTCTGTGTAAACTGTCCTTGCATTCCACCTTTGTAAATCAGGACAAGGATCATTTTCAAAGAAAATTCTCGGGGGGGGGGGGGAATCAGGTGTACATACGGAGTATGTGACACCCTCCTTTACATTCTAGATATTGTATGCAGTGCCTTCCATTGAGATATAGCTACCCCTACACACAAACTAGATACCTGGCATCAACGCGTGGTCCATGTATTTCATCATCACCAATGGACTCAACATGGCTCCCAGAGCATGAAGTTTTGTTATATGAGGCTTTATCCATCTGAATAAATGTTTACTAGTGATAGTCGCCAGACTAGCAATGGAAAGTTTCTCCCACTTCTGATGGTCAATTTCTGTCACTGGCCCAAAATGCACAAACCTCTGCCTGGGGCGGGTGGCTTTCTTGTACGTTCTCGCTTTGCGGCTTGCAAAATCATCACATCCGGCAGCTCTCGCTGCCATCTCAGAGGACAGAAAACTATCTTGAGTGTCCATCAGTTCGTCATCACTATTAACCATGGTAGAAACAAAAAGGGCAGATCAAAAGTAGCGATTCAATTACTCAACAAACAAAAGGCAGATCTGAAAAAACAACAGCCCTTACTTATGACACCAAGAAACTGTTTTTATACTCAAGAAAGTAAACCAAATCAAAAACTTCTACGAAACTGCAACTACTGATTCAACCCCATGTTCAGAGAATGACACAAACAAGCCGAACAATGGTGGCATAGGGCCAAGTGATGGCATAATGTCTCTTGCAAATCTGGGCAGTTAAGATTTAGAAATGGCTCCGGCGGCAGTTTTTTATGTGCTGACAATCTCTTGCTAGATTGTGCCTCCAGTGTCTGAGCTGAACAAGATAGAGGGCTATCGTCTAGCCTTGTAAAATTCAGGTACGTTCCCATGAAGTGCTGGGGGAGAACAAGGCCTATTGAAACAGCTGCTTCCTGCCCAGAAGTGCCAAATGAAGGAAAGCCCAAAATGGAAAACTTGAATCTGAAGAAGAGGAAAAAGTGTTTCATTTCAAGCTTCAAATCACATGCGTGGTGATAAGGGAGATTCCCAGTTCCTGAACAGATGTGATCAAAAGCACCACATGCACAAAAAAGCCGATGACGTTATTCTTAGCTTGATGAAAAATAAAAACCACCACACTTCCCTTGGTAACTTATAGAAGGAGCCACATCTCACAACCAATGCTCCCTCTAAGCCAGTGGTGGTGAACCTATGGCACAGGTGCCAGAGGTGGCACTCAGAGCCCTCTCTGTGGGCACATGTGCCATCGCCCCAGCCAGGCCCAGACCATCATTAAAGTGTTGAATTCTCTGCCAAATAATTTTAAGCAAATGAAAACATTTGGGATTGCTTTCCTTACTTTGTTTGGATCATCTTAAGTTAATGTATGAGTTGTTTTTTCTAAAGTAAAACCTCAGTATTCAGGTTAAATTGCCGTGTTGGCACTTTGCGATAATCAAGTGGGTTTTGGGTCGCAGTTTGGGCACTCGATCTCTAAAGGTTCTCCATCACTGCTCTAAGCTGTGGAGTCTTGTGAGCAAAAAAATTCTACTTTGTGAGCTCCCGGCATTAAAGCTGTGAGTGAGCGATTTGGCTACTGCATAAATTAGTTTGCTCTGGAGCCATCCTTCCCGAGCTAAGACAAAAATCTGTGAGCCGGAGGCTAAAGAACTGTGAGCTAGCTCACCCTAACTCAGCTTAGAGGGAACACTGCTCACAGAGAAAGAGAATGCGCATCCCTAGATGACTAATATTTAGACAACAGCACTCTTTTAAGAAGTCTAGAGGATTAATAGTGGATGTTACTCCATAACCAACAGTCTGCTGTATGTAGCGTTGAGGCACAAAAAAATGAAGGAAATTGCTGCAGAGTTCACAAGTAATAAAGAGACAAAAATCAACTTGTTACAAATGACGTTGAGTGATGTTAGTATTCTATATTTTCATGTTTTCAGAACACAGGACGTCAAAAACTGAAGAAGACTTGTTGTCCGTGTTTGAAACTTGTTAGCCCACGTGCTGTTAAAACTGTTGTTGGATAAGATTGACATCACTGTTAAATATAATAAGACAACCAGAGAACTGAATTTTGGTTGAGAAAGAGTTGTCTCGAAACGAACAACCACTCGAGATGTTCGTACGTTCTTCTTCAGTTTTTGACGTCCTGTGTTCTGAAAACATGAAAATATAGAATACTAACATCACTCAACGTCATTTGTAACAAGTTGATTTTTGTCTCTTTATTACTTGTGAACTCTGCAGCAATTTCCTTCATTTTTTTGTACATCTTTAAATTGCTGGTCCCCCTTGTAATTTTTGTAGCGTCGAGGCCCCTGGACTGAACACTGCCCAGGTTTAACATCGGTATTTGGAAAGTGAAAAGACAGCTCTCAAGGCTACTACTGTAAACACAAAAAGACTTTAGGAACAGTGTGAAAAGGCTCTCTCCTCCTGTTACGAAAACATTATTACCTGTTCTTCCCTGCAACTTTCAGCCGGTCCCATGTCTCTTTGTCCGTTTGTGTCATGGAACCTTTTGTAAGCATTGATAAGTCTAGTTGAGAGGGGTTAGCCTGAGTTCTCTGTTCAGACGGCTTCTCTCCTTGACCACTGTCATCTTTCGCTGGGTCCTTTGCCCCAGTCTCATCAACCCAAGACTGCACAGACGGTATCTCTCCATAGAATGCCATTGGCTTTGATGTAGCCTTGTTCCCGCTAATTTAATGAACAGTCCAGAATCAGCAAGAGAAGAACAAGTTGGGAGAAGCAGAAAATGCACAGTGCCATGCCAATAATAAAGTCCAACACAGAGAATACAAATGGAACGGTGACTGTTAGGGAGTGAAAGAGACCATGGTGGGGGTGGGCGTGGGGGCAGGGTATAGAAGCAAGAATCTACTATTCAGTAGAACCCAGTAGAATCTAGAGTGAGATATAGACCCCCTTTTGCATGATTATTGCCAACTAGTGCTCACACCACAATTAATTTTGGGAAATCCTTGAACAAAGCAACTTCAGTCTACCCTTTTTTCTGGAAGCGGTGGGGAATGAAAACTGTGAATGCTCTCCCATTGTCCGTAATTTCTTTGGGCGTTCCACACAAATGGGAGAAGAGTAGCATGGCTTGGCATGGTGGACCCTTTTCCTGGTTTGGGGGCGCTGGCAAACGCCCGGCCTCGCCCTCCTCTACAACCAGCCCCCGTTCTCTACAGACAACCGACACATTATTAGCCCACACAAGTAAAACCATTGATATGTTTCTGCAACAATGTTTAATTTATTAACGACCTCTCATTTTGACAATTATGATGTCCACTTCCTCAAACTATAATGAATTCAAGTTCTGTTTTTTTTAATTGCTACCAAATATGTAACCATTGCAAAACTCCACATTTCCCAAGTCTGTTATGTTCTTCAGATATAATTCCAAGACATTACTTATACGTTAGACTGAAGACTTTAAATACTGACGCTCGTTATTGCCGTCACTAAGACAGCCCTACTCGATTGGATCATATGCAGATGAAACCACCAGATATTTCAAAAGACTTTTTGAGCTCTCTGGGAGAGAGAATCATAATTACAGATGTAATTAATATTGCCAGAACAGAGGAAAATGCATTCAACCATGTCTCACTGAATAAACACACCAAATGTATTCTTTTTATGCTTATTCTTATTATAACTTAATCTAAAATGGTTTCTTGGTTTATCTGAGAATGATGTGGCCTCACTATGGTCTGGTTTGCGACTCTTAAATTCAAAGTCTTAAGGAGAAATGAATCCCTTACAATTCACCAAAAATTTTTCAATGTGGACATGTTCTGACAGTGAGATACACCTGCAAATTCACCGGCAAACATGCAGGAAAGAAAATGCAGTGAATTTTACTCGACCAGTTAAAACTTTCAGGATGAATGAAAGACAGAAAAAGCACACCTTGTGCGTTCCTGTTTCATCTTCCGCTTCTTTCCTTCTTCCAGTTTACCTTGCTCTTTCTTTGTATAGGGTCCCAGTAGATACTGGCTAAAAGGCAATGTACGTTTGGGTTGATTTAGTTTTGCTCTCCGAATAGCAAAGTCATCCTTCTCTAGATCAGGAATTCTCTCCTCTCGTTCATCTTCGGAGCCAGATTCCTTTCGTTGATAGCTCAACATAAAGGGGTTCTCTTTGCGGAGGATAATGTCTGGAGTTGGGTCACCTGTTTCATATACGCGGTTTTGACTGATACATAGCAAAATTAAATAGAAAACCCAGATGTGGTACAGAGAAAGACAACGCACCTCTCCAGAAGTCGGAAAAAAAGCAAACAAGATGTGCTCATACATGTTATTTGTTTAACAGAAGTCTTCACCATTTCTCACTCCATGCTGTAAAAGCCAGAATTCCACGCACATGCACTTAGTAGCACCGGGTCTTTAATGTTTATTGCAACATGTGTAGAGTACCAGGAAGCACTGATCTGAAAGAGGCACCTTTGCTTCCAAATACTTAAATGGCTTCTGGCCAAGGACTCGTTGCCCTTACAGGACCTACAGGACATGAATATAGATTTCTCTTCCCGTGCTTTTCATGACATTAGGAACATGGCATCATCTTTGGCAAAGTCAGTGTGCCCATCTCTGTCAAAGTTGTTAAGCTATGGTGCCATTGACAACCATTGCAGAACATGGTGAATACAACCATCCAGGGCTTTTTTTGTAGAAAAAGCCCAGCAGGAACTCATTAGCATATCAGGCCACACCCATGACAACACAGCTCATTAGCATATTAGGCCACACCCCTGTGTTGCCAGAAGTGTGGTCATCCAGCCACACCCACCTTTCCCTTCTTATTTTGTTTACCTTGTTTGTTGTCAAAACCCAGGGCTTTTTTTGGAGCAGGAACTCCTTTGCATGTTAAGCCACACCCCTAATGTAGCCAATCCTAATGAGTTCCTGCCACTGGGTGTGGCCTATTATGGTGTGGCCGATTATGCTAATGAGTTCCTGCTGGGTGTGGCCAACTTGGGAGCCAGCCGGAACTCCGTTCCTCTGCGTTCCTGCCCAAAAATAGCCCTGCAACCATCAACAGTAACGTGATGGTGCACCAGACCTGAGAACGGAAAGGGTATCCCTTAAGTTCCGCAGCAGAAGGGAAGCCTAATTTTACCTCCTGTCACAGTGTCATTTGTGGGACTTCTCTTTACAAAAGTCCCTTTTGGAATATGAAAACCCAGTATCCTGAACAAGTGTGAGCCAATTCATCAAAGGCTACTGTCTACTACAGGTGCAGAATGGCAACATTAAGGTTCTTTTATACCACAAAAGGACCTCTGTCCAGAAACAAGTTCAGATAAAGCACATGGCACTGTTGGCCCTCCTTTCACTGCATAAGCAACAGAATCGTTGGGGAACTCTAGGAAAACAGATACAGGACTCTATCTGCTGCAATACTGTGCAATTATTATTGACTTAAGAAGTCTCGCGACATAACCCAAGAACGCAATTTTATTTTCAACTGTCATGCTTTGGCTGTAGCTTTGAAAGGAGACGCACAGATATTTTTTTAAAAACAAAAGTCTGTCGTTTTTTCTCTTCTCTTTGCAGACTGACATAGGGAGCCCAGATGTCACAGCTGTGGTGTTCAAAAAGTGACGAAGGCGCTTCATGTCAAAGGCTAGATGTCTTTGCAACAGTTACGACTGAACTGTGAATTTGGGGATCGCCCCATTTTGAACTCCTCCGTTAGGAAATGGTGTGGGGGCAGTGAAGGAATATCTGCGTGGCAGACCCGGATAGGAATTTGCTGCTCCACTGTTCTCCTGGCTGTTCTCCTGGAAATTGGGAACCCAGTTATCAGGGTAATTGCACAAGGCAGAAACATCTGCTGATGTGCTGAGTTCATCGCGAGAAGCTACCTTGGCACAGGGATTTTCACATTAAAACAATAAAAGGGATGACATGTAGGCACAGTGAAGAATTCACTGATCTCCTGTTCTCCTGGCTGGAGATTGGGAACTGAAATGTTTATACGTACTGAGAGCCTGAGATGGAATCTGTTTACTGCTTAATGACGCAGTCGATTTGGCCTTGGCAGAGGGGGAGAGACAGATAACAGAGAGCTTGCACACACACACACACATTCCTTAGTTCATGTCTCATGACAGGATGCTGTAATGTATGAAAGGGAGGGGGAAAGGAGGATGGATTTATTCATTCATTCAAGATTCATTCATTCAGTCAGTTCCTGCAGACTTGTGTCGTGTCTTCTTTGAACCCCGGCAACTACAAAATGGTGTACAGCTTTGAAATGAACAGGGCAAGAAGCCTGATTTTATGTCAAAAAAGGAGAAGCTTCAAATTCAAGCAGGAGCGCCTGACCACCTTGGAATGTGTGAGCAAGCAGGCTGGGGGTAGGGCGGGATTATGGGGTAAAGGGGGAGTGTCAAGTTGTGTTCCTTCTCTTAGCGCTTCCAGGCTGCGTTCAGACTGGCAGTTTGCAGCGCTAGGGAGTTGCGTCAAAGAAGACCCGGAACAGACCCGGAACGACTTGGTCACGGTATTCCTGTTCAGATTGCAGCAAATGAAGCGGGAGGATACCATGAAGGAAGCGCAAGGGAGTGTTTGCACTGTTGGCCCGCCCCTGGTGGGCTGTTAGCGGCTGTCTCTGTGCTCCGCTGCATTGCGCCTATGCGCATGGGTGCCTGCCACAGAAACAGCCAGAACCTATTATCAACGACTGCGGGTTGTTCCCGCCTTACAGCGCTTGCATTCACACGTCAGGGAACCAGAATCAACCCGCTCTCCACACAGTTTGCTACCACTTCCACCAGGTATTTTTAAAACTTGGGAGGGAAGCGGTACAAGACAGCTTGAGTATGGCTGGGGGACGCCTGAAAGATGTGCCTGTGTGAACCCGCCCCTTTAATCCGCTAGTGAAACGCTCCTGAAACGTTTGGCTGTTGGGCCAAACTGCCAGTCTGAACGCGACCCCAGTGTAGGCAAATTGCTTATTTATACATAAGACACCTTAATAGCTAGATGATAGTACAATGCTTCCTCAAAAGCAGTGACAAACAATGATTGTTCCAATAGAGAGAATGGTGTAGTACTGGTTGGGCTAGAATCTGGGAGGCTCAAGTTCGAATTCCTGTTTTACTATCACTCTCGCCAGGGGTCTTTTTGTAGAAAAAGCCCAGCAGGAACTCATCAGCATAATAGGACACACCCAACAGCAGAAACTCATTAGCATATTAGGCCACGCCCCTGCCAGCACAGCTTATTAGCACATTAGGCCGCACCCCCATGTTACCAGAAGTGTGGTCATCCAGCCACACCCACCTTTTGCTTTTTATTCTGTTTACCTTGTTTGTTGTCAAAACCCAGGGCCTTTTTTTGTAGCATGTTTGCATGTTAGGCCACACACCCCTAATGTAGCCAATCCTAATGAGTTCCTGCTGGGTGTGGCCAACTAGGGAGGCAGCAGGACCTCTGTTCCTGTGCGTTCCTGCCCCAAAGTAGCCCTGACTCTCCCTCAGATGATGTTACCTCACAGGGTGTTTGTTGTCAGGAGAAAAATGGAGGGGGGGGCATGTAGTAAGCTGCTTTGGGACCCCGCTGGGAGAAAAGCAGAGTATAAATATCTAAATATCAGTGTCACGTGAGTTTTCCACAAAGGGTTTTGCCCCCTCACCACAGACTCTTTGCGCTTTAGAGGGCAAGCTATAGTCTGAAGTTGCTCCAGGCAACTTTCACACAGGAGGAGGAGGAGATTGGAGGAGGAGATTGGAGTTATACCCAGCCCTTTACTACCCCCGAAGGAGCCTCAGAGCCGTTTACAATCCCCTTCCCCCCCCTCCCCACAACAGACACCCTATGAGGCAGGTGAGGCTGAGAGAGCTCTGAGAGAACTGCTCTTGGGAGACCAGCTCTGAGAGACCTTGTAACTGACACAAGGTCACACCAGCAGCTGCATGTGGAGGAGTGGGGAATCAAACCTGGTTCTCCCAGATTAGAGTCCGTGCTCTTAACCATTACACCAAACTGGCTCTCCTCCACGGTTTGAACAACAGCAAGTAGGACTGAGGCACACAGGGATGGCACACATGTGCCCCATTCCAGTACTGCGCGCTGCTCACACCATCCCTCGCCAACTGGATAACCATCTTGCCAGCCCCCCCACCGCCCTGCCGCACAGCCCCCCCCCTCCACCAACAGCTGCGCCTCAGCACAAGAGAGATGGCACACAGGACCTGGAAGGAGTCTGCCACTAGGACAGCACGGCTTTGCTCTTGGAGACTCGACTCTTTGGCTGGCGTCCCCTGCCTCTCGCTTCCATCTGCAAAATCTGCACCTGGCATACCGAAAGGAAAATATTTCCGAGGATGACAAAGTAATGCTTTAACGGCTGCAGATGCTGAACAACGTTATTTGACCCAGAGGCAGCACTAGGAGTCCTTGCAAAGAAAACACAAGGAGTTCTGCCGATAAGGAGACTTCAGAACTGCCCCACCTTGGCTGAACAACTGACTTGCCCCCATGTGTTTGGAGCCCGGAAGGGGAAACCTGAAGCTGCAAGATTGGAGCCGGGCCTGATGGCCTGAAGCCATGACCTTCCTCCAGCCAACGTGTGCTAAAGACATTGTGCCAAACGCAACCCTCTTGGTCCAGGGATTTACTGAGGACCTTACATGCAAATCCTGAATTCTGAACTCATTAACAGGGCATCCATTACATAAGGCTGGCCCATTTTTATTTCGTATTTTGGTGGAAGTCCAAGTACTTTGTTGCTTTGCTTAGCACAAGTATAGGAGGCAACGTCTGGTTACACGAGAAGGTTTTGTTCCACAAGTTCTAGAAAAGCAACTGGAGAGGGGCTTCAGGTATTTATGTGTTTGAGCTTACTTAGGAGCCTTTGATTCATATTTTGGTGGAAGTCCAAGTACTTTGTTGCTTTGCTTAGCACAAGTATAGGAGACAACGTCTGGTTACGCGAGAAGGTTTTGTTCCACAAGTTCTAGAAAAGCAACAGGAGAGGGGCTTCAGGTCTTATAAACGAGAAGTGCCAGAAGAAGGATCAGCCGCTCACACACCTCTGTCAATGCCTATCTGGGACAGACTTGTGTATTTTCCCTGTAGTGAGCTGTGTGAATTCCAGATGCCTGGGCAGCCGATGCAAATTCCAAATCTGCATGCTCTTACAATAAGCAAAACCACTGTTTTTTCAAAGCTTCACGACTGAACCAATCAGCAAAGGACAGGTGAGCACGTGCTCTCTTCCATTCATACTTCCTCCAGCACTCGCTGACTCTTAACAACCCAAGTAATCAAAGAAACAGTTCTGACAGCCTACCAGCAGATGACTTCAGATCACTTCAAAAAGGATGTGGACAGAATGAAGCGGGTGCAGAGGAGAGCGATGAGGGTGGTCGGGGCTCGGGGGGGGGGGCTGGAGACCAAGCCCTATGAGGAAAAGGGACTTGGGAATGTTCAGTCTGGAGAAGAGGTTGTTGAGGGGGGACATGATTGCTCTCTTGAAGTATTTCAAGGGCTGTCACTTAGAGGAGGGCAGGGAGCTGTTCCTGTGGGCAGCAGAGGAGAGGACTCGCAATAATGGGTTTAAGTTAAGGGCGGGAAGGTACCGGCTGGATCTTAGGAAAACCTTTTTTTACAGTCAGAGTTGTGCCACAGTGGAATCAGCTCCGCCTAGGGAGGTGGTGAGCTCCCCCTCACAGGCAGTCTTCAAGCAGTGGCTGGACAAACACTTGCCAGGGATGCTCTAGGCTGATTATTATGGCCTGTATGGCCCCTTCCAACTCTGTGATTCTATGATTCTATGTCCTGAGCAAAAATTACCCCCTGCTTTGCACAAGCAATCTGCTTGAGCAAGCACCATGCAGCTGGGCAAGACCAGAGCTCCACTTCTAGAGAAATACGAACAGAAAGTGGCACAAATCGACTGTTCTGACATTGCACTGGCCACATGAGGAGGCTGCTCGCATGGCTGCTTTTTAAATCCTTTTGTCTGCTATCAACGTTATTGTTGGAACTGACTCTAAACCAAGGATGATTTTACTTTAGGGTTCAAGGGGTTTTGTGGGGGTGGGGCCATGTTCAATTAAACCACTCGAATGATGTGGTTCCCTTTGACCTACTGTTCATTCAGCTGCTTCTCAGTAAAAAGAAGGACTCAACCTATCATTAGATACCATGCAAAGATCAGGCCGAGCGCCGAAGAATAGATTCTTTTGAACTATGGTGCTGGAGAAGACTCTTGAGAGTCCCTTGGACTGCAAGAAGATCAAATCAGTCAATCCTAAAAGAAATCAACCCTGACTGTTCCCTGGAAGGCCAGATAATGAAACTGAAGCTCAAATACTTTGGGCACCAAATGAGAAGAGAGCACTCACTGGAGAAGACCCTGATGCTGGGAAAGATTGAAGGTCAAAGAAGACGGGGACGGCAAAGGATGAGATGGTTAGACAGTGTCATAGATGCAACGAACATGAAGTTGAGCAAACTTCAGAGGATGGCGGAAGACCGGAAGGCCTGGCGTGATCTGGTCCATGGGGTCGCGAAGAGTCGGACTCGACTGTGCGACTGAACAACAAAAAAGATCACACTACTTCATCAGAGTTTTAATACAAAAGCTTCTATGGGGATTCTACCATATACTATGATTTTTTAAGGAAGCTTTTTCATTGTCTTTAGAACCACACTCGACTGCAAATGACCTATCAACATGCATGGTGTGGGTACACAATCAAGCTTGAGTTTTTAAGCCATGAAAAATAGTAGAAACCCTAGGGCAGAAAGAAATACCATCTTGCCCAATCCTGATCCAATTCTTAAAAACATTATATTCAGCCAAAGAAAACTTTCAATCTGAGCATTCTGGTTTATTTAAAGAGGTCTACTCTGGTGCCGCAAGACAGGGTGAGCTCCTGTCTCTAGTTCCAGCTCCTGCCAACCTAGCAGTTCGAAAGCAAGAAATTGCAAGTAGATAAATAGGTACCACTTCAGTGGGAAGGTAACAGCGTTCCGTGCGCCTTGGTGTTTAGTCATGCCGGCCACATGACCACGGAAACGTCTTCGGACAGCGCTGGCTCTTCGGCTTTGTAACGGAGATGAGCACCGCAACCCTAGAGTCGGATTCGACTGGCTTTCGAGCAAGGGAACCTTTACCTTTACCTTTACTCTGGTGTTAAACGCATTATATTTCGGGGTAGGTACAAAACTCAATCCTAAATTCAAAACTATATTCTCCTCATGAGTCAATATTCTATTGGATAAATTTTCCACTAAGGTTTCTTCCTGCCTGTTTTGTTGTATGCATAATATTCTCTGGGTTTCATTTTTGTACTTCTTTCTAAAAAAGGTCTACGTGAGGGACCCTCATCCCCTGAGGTGGTTATAGAATCTTCTGCTTCCGTTGTTTCCATATCTGAGGTTGACTGTCTCAAGTCTGCCCATGAAACTCTTTTGTTAGTAATAATCCCACCCAGGGTACACCACTTATATACACGGTTGTGAGAGTGATCTCTCTTGTCTCTAATTTTTTGATTTTGGTGTCTCTGGTTTTCTCTTCATACGCTTTTAAGTCTACTTATAGATGTTTAAACTTTTCTTCATAAGTCTCAAAGGAAATGTTACTTTGAAGCTTTTCTTCTGCTTCTTTTATCTCATTCTGCATTTGTAAACTTCTCTAGTAGTTTCATCAATAATCAAAAGCATAAGCCAGAAGCTCTTTCCAAGCAATCCTGTATTGTACACTTGGAGAGTGTCTCTTGGTATGTGCGATGATCACCACTTTGTGTGAGACAGGCAATGCATGTATTTTGCAGCTACTCTGCACACTACCCAAAATACAGATTTTTATGGTTGCACATAGTGCAGTTGAAAAATACGGGTGTTGCCAGTTTCACACAAAATGGTGATTACCTGTACCATGAAGCGCGTAGCACACTCTGCCAGTATGCGGGAGGAGTGTCAGAAACTTAAACCTGAAAAGGGTTTGGATCTTCCATGCACCAACACACACGAACCCTCCAACAGATTAACCCTTATAATCTATATCATAGTGTTTAACAGAAGGAAAACTGATGCACAGAAATGTGCTCTGATTTGCCAACAGTAATGCCATCATGTGCTTCCTATTTCTGCACTCCTTGCGTTAAATTTTACATCCTTTAAGGCAACTGCTTATCCCCCCCCCCCAATCTACTTAATATAAACCGAAACAACAGTTCAGCCATGGAAGGTTTAGAAGCTCTACACCAACACAGAAATTAATGCAAGGCTCTCACCCCAGCCGAGAATTATTACAGTGTAATTACCAGTCACAACAAATGTGCTGAACACCACAGAATTTTGCAATGCACAGCTGCCAAACTCCAGTTAGTTTCTTCTAATGTAAGAAGTTATGAGACAGCAAACCAATGCACATCTTTATTAGGCTGATTTTGTGTGTGCGTGCGCGCACATGTGTGTTACAGGATATGAGTCATACGACATAAAGGCAAACTGAGAAAAACCACACGGGAGGGAAAAAATGCTTAAAATGAGACGCATGCGCATAGGAAGTCCCACAGCATGGGGCTGACCTGCTGCCGTAGCGTTCTGCCGCTGGCATGACCTTAATACCAGCCTGTTCAAGCCGTCTTAACTTCCTGAGCTCTTGGGGATCTTTCTCAGCATTTCTGGGCCCTGCAGTTCTGTTTGCAGAATGGGCAGGAGACGAAGGTGAAGAGTCTCTGGCGCTTAAGCTTGCGTCTGCCTGAACGGGAGCATTTTCCTGGCCCAAGTGCTCCTCTTCGGATTTTGCCGGCGCTTCACTTTGCTCTTCCTCGATCGTTTCAGGGTGGCTCTTGCTATCAAGTTACACAGGGCAGATTACTATACAGTCCCCCTTCTCCTTCCTCACCTATTGCTACTTGCCGCAAAGCAAACTGAGACAAATTTCTCCAGCAGCAAATCAGAAAGAGGGACAACACCCCTCCGGTCCAGATCCGAGAACAGCACAACGTTAGAAAGGAAAAGATGCCACTGCTTCAACACACAGGTATGCACCGAAGAGATGCAGCCATGATTCTTTCACAGATAAACATATCACACAGGGTTGGGGGTTTTTTTTAAAAAAAGAGAATGTGATGACATGACAAAGAGAACTGAGCACATGACTCAGTCCTGGTTTAGACACTCTGAAGCAATCCGCCTAGAAGACGCAGCCGCACAGAGGGAGCAACGCCTGACCCAGCATGACCCGGTCGACCGACGCCAATTCTCAGCAGTGTCTCGAATCAGCACAGCGGGCAAGAAGAGGGGCTGCTGCGCCCATGCAAATCACTGCCAGGACGCAGGCACATTCCCAGGTCATCTGTTGCTTCTCCCGCTGCTGTTGCTCCTCTCCTTGTTATCATTATTTATACAGCATCATCGAGCTACATGGCAGTTCAGACACCGGTCCCGCCATCATTTTGAGCTCAAGCGAAGTAGGACACCAAAGCGATGAAGGGAAAGGAGCTAAGGGGAACCGGTGGGGGGGGGGACGGGACGGGACGGGATGAAAACACCAGAGAAGGCAGCCGTGTCCGCCCGAAGCGGCAAAATGAAACAGGAGCCTTGAGGCACCTTGAAGACTAACAAAATTTATTCCAGCGTATGTTTTTTCCCCCAGAGTCAGAGCTCACTTTATCGGATCCACTGAGGTGTACTTCCAGTACGCCGACTGTACTTACAAAAGACAGGACAGGAGTGGTGGTGGGGGAGATGTTACAGAGATAAGCCAGTTTAAAAGAAGATCCAATAAAAATGGCCATCGGCTCATTCACAATAAGATAGGATTCCAGGGGCAACCCAAAGACCAACAAAATCCATTCCCGCACACGCTCTTTGTATATTAGAAGAACTCACCTCATCAGATGCATCTGATGAAGTGAGCGCTGATCCATAAAAGCTCATGTTGATCAACTGCAGTGACAAAGAGCAAGAGTCCAGTCGCACCTTGAAAACCAACAAAATATGAGGCAGGGTATGAGCTTTCGTGAGTCACTGCTCACTTCAGATCTGAAGAAGTGAGCAGTGAGCCCTATTTTGTTAGTCTTTAAGGTGCGACTGGACTCTTGCTCTTTTTCTACAAAAAAAGCCCAGCAGGAACTCAGTAGCATAATAGGCCACACCCAACAGCAGGAACTCATTAGCATATCAGGCCACACCCTGACAGCACAGCTCATTCACATATTAGGCCACACCCCCATGTTACCAGTGGTCATCCAGCCACACCTACCTTTTCCTTCTTATTCTCTTTATCTTGTTTGTTGTCAAAACCCAGGGCTTTTTGCATGTGAGGCCACACATCCCTAACTGTAGCCAATCCGAATGAGTTTCTGCTGCTGGGTGTGGCCTATTATGCTAATGAGTTCCTGCTGGGCATGGCCAACTCGGGAGCCAGCCGGAACTCCGTTCCTGTGCGTTCCTGCCCAAAAATAGCCCTGGTACTGCTACAGACAGACTAACAATGCTACCCATCTTGCAGTAGCAAAGGTTGAGGTTTCACCAAATGGTGGATTTGGGGGTGGAGGGAACTGAATGTAAAGAAGGTAAGGTAGTAGTATCGACAAGGACCATCTGGCAGAGGCTATAAAGCAGTGGCACTTACTCTGCAGCTCACAGAGAGCCTCACTCTCTATTGACATCATCCAAAAAAGCTACATCTACTTCCATCCCGGGCATGAAACCTGCACCTTGGAGACACTTGCAAATTACCAGTTTCTCTGGCAGTAGCTGTTCCAAGGTGGGGAACCCCCTGTCAACTAAGCCCCACTGGGCAAGGGCCTTGTCTACTTTCTCAAAACATGAGGCAGGTTCCACGTTTGCGGAACAGTGCTCAGAAGAGACACAGGTCATGCGCTGAAGAGCCACTGACTATCCTTGTTATAAAGCATCTGAGCCAGAGCTCTGGATTCAAGCAGTGTGCATCACCATAACATAAAGTTAACTAATGTCTATCTAAATGAGCGGTTCCAGGCACCAGAGAACATATGACAAGGCTCATTCCCAGCGCAGAGTTACACCCGTGGTGGGCTGAGAGACTGGAGCATAAAAACGAACAACATACAACTCATTACTAATGTCTCCACGCACCGAGAATGGCACAGTCACCCATGCAACATTCTTCCTGAGGCCAAAGTTGTCTCATTATTTTCCAATTAGCCAAGCAAGGGGAGAAATAGCATCTACCGGCTCGCTCTAGATGATAGATGCACTTGGTTTGGATTAGACAGTAGTCCCATGTAACACGATCTGGTCAGGGAGACCCGGGCCAAAGCCTTACCTGAAAGGTCTCTCTCCTCCTAGAGGAGAAGTAGCTGTGCTCCAGCTCTTCCTATACTCCTCGCGTTCAGCTTTCTTTTTCCTAAGAGGAGCCGGTATATAGGCAGTCTGGTTACTCTTGTTGGGGAGGTATTGGTTAAAAGGCACAACTGATTTGGGTTCACCATAGGAAGTCCGCCTGGCAGACATATCGTCTTTTTTCATGTCTGGAATCTTCCGATGTGGCAAGTCAGATTCAGAGTCACTTCCTCTCCCTGTTTTGTTTTTTCAAAAAAAGAAAAGAAGAACGGGAAAGTTTAAATATTTAATCAAAGTGTGCCGGAATAAGAACCTCAGCTATTGTCAGGTCCCCCCAGCAACAACGAAGTACACGCTTGTAGAAAGGTTTTACTTTTATTGAAGCTAAAGGTGCATTGACAGGAACACTGTTAGGAATGACTTGGAACCAAAGAGCATGTCAGGATATAGTACATTCAAATCAGCAGGACCCAAATCCCTGTTACAATCACCTTTTTTTTCCCTTTTCAAAAATATTAGTGGTCCATGTCAGAATTGACAGGAACAGAGTTTCTACCAGCCAGCCCATTCCTTTTGCTGCTGCTGCTGCTGTTACTGCTACTACTACTAGTACTACTACTACTACTACTGGGATGGGAGGATTAGTTAGGGCCTAAGACACATTGGTTGTGAAGGCGAACATACGGGCAGCCTCTAAGAGGAGGAAAGGGTGACAGAGAACTGGCCACCCCCACCCCCGCTTCTTCCCTCTCAAGGCAGATGTCCTACAAGGACAGGGCTATTTTGGGGCAGGAATGCACAGGAACGGAGTTCTGGCTGGCTCCCAAATTGGCCACGCCCAGCAGGAACTCATTAGCATAATGAGTTAGGATTAGGATTGGCTACATTAGGGGTGTGTGGCCTAACATGCAAAGGAGTTCCTGCTACAAAAAAAGGCCCTGGGTTTTGACAACAAACAAGCTAAACAGAATAACAAGCAAAAGGTGGGTGTGGCTGGATGAGCACACTTCTGGTAACATGGGGCTACGGCCTAATGTGCTAATGAGCTGTGATGTCGGGGATGTGGCCCAATATGCTAATGAGTTCCTGCTGTTGGGTGTGGCCTATTATGCTAATGAGTTCCTGCTGGGGTTTTTCTACAAAAAGAGCCCTGTAAGGATATCACAACAGGGTCTGAAATTTTATCATGGAAGAGAGATTTCCCCAAAAACATAAATTCAAAAAAGAAGATATGCATCTAGAAGACCGCAGATGAATGTCACAGCAATTACTTGAGGTGTGTGTGTTTTGTTTGGGGGGGGGGGCTGGGGGGCTAAATGATCACTGTATACCATTTTACCCTGGTTTTAAATTCACTCAGCATTTCCACTGCTCTGTTATGCATTGCTTCCTGTTGACAGGAGAGGTGTAGTCCAAGAAGCAGAAATAACTTGACTGTGACTACAAAAAGAAAAATCTGCACTTTGAGGTTTAAAAACAAGAACTCTATGCTTTTTTTTTTTACTGCAAGTGAATGCCAAATGCTAAGGTGGAGGCTCTTGAGTGCCCATGGAGCTGTGCAAAAACTTTCCTTACTCCCTCCTGCTGCTACAATCTGTTGTTTCCCCACAAACTCCTGCCCAAGTGTAGGGGGGGGTCAGTGGACCCCCAGGAAAAGCATTGCCCACCAATCAGCCACCTTCTTCCACAGGAAACGCAGTCTGTCACCGGAAAGCCTAGTTAGAATTAATTCATTCTGCAGTGCACTGGATAGTGTGCTAGAATTGGACTGGGGGGGAAATCCAGCGTTAAATCCCCACACTACTACTTGCATCACTAAGTCTCAGCCCAATGTTCCTCTCAGGGTGGCAAGGAGGATAAAAATGTCACCTGGAGCTTCTTGAGGAAAAGCAGCGTAAACACAGGATCATACCTCAGGCAGACCACAATTCAACACGGTTCAGTTGTGGTGTGTTTGATGTACCACTGAAATTAGTGGCGTAATCCCATGTGGGACCGTGATGATTAAATCTAAGCTACCGAAGCAGAATTTGAGATCTGTGAAAGAGAAGTCTACTTTCAAAATCATCCAGAGTGAGATCTGGAAGAGGAAACTAGAGGAAACTATAAAGTTATACCCTTTCTGAGCAATCCAAAGCAGAGTTAAAGGTAAAGGTAAAGGTGCCCTTGCTCAAAAGCCAGTCAAGTCCGACTTTAGGGTTGCGGTGCTCATCTCCGTTTCAGAGCCGAAGAGCCAGCGCTGTCTGAAGATGTTTCCATGGTCATGTGGCTGGCATGACTAAACACCAAGTCGCACGGAACGCTGTTACCTTCCCACCGAAGTGGTACCTATTTATCTACTTGCAATTTCTTGCTTTCAAACTGCTAGGTTGGCAGGAGAAAGCAGAGTTACATCTTTCTAAATACATTGAAATCAATGGACTTAGAAGGGCATAACTCTTCTTTGGACTGCACTCTGACAAACGAGACTCTTTTCACAATGATTTGGGCTTCGCCCATTGAGAACGGCTTCATTTTACAAGAGTGTTATTTTTTCCTATACTGTGGATTCAAAACAGACGGGTTTCTCAGTTACCAGGATCTAGTTTGCCTTTTTAGCATTCTGCATCCCAAGGAATATTTTTAATCACCCTCCTTCGTTAATTTAACTGATGTCTGCCCAACATCACCTAACACTCCAGAGCAAATAAACACTCATAATCTAGTCAGCTATGATGTCAGCTTTCTCACACACACACACACACACCCCCAGCAAGTGAGGGAAGGTCTCAAATGCAGAGCGGGCAAGCTCTATCAAGAACTCACAAGCCATGTTGGAAGTTCCAGATGCCATGCCCCCTGCCTCAGACCTCCAGACTGACTGGCAAGAGAGACTAGATAGCTAGACAGGCACACTGGTCTTTCTTCCTGTATCTACTCTTCTGCCACTGTCCTCTTTGAGATGCAGATTGTGTTCTCAGGGACCAATTTCCCCTTCCTTCATCTCTCTCACTTTGAATCAGGGCTATTTTTGGGCAGGAACACACAGGAACAGAGTTCTGGCTGGCTTCAGAGTTGGGCATGCCCACTAAAGCCAAAACCTCTGTGTGTGTGGCTACAGAGGGAAGGCCTGGAGAGCGACCCCACCCCCAGCGACTCCGAGGTGGGCGGGCCAGGGGCGCCCGGGCAAGCCAAGGGAAGGCAGAGCCTAATATTCGAATGAGCTGCACTGTCAGGAGTGTGGCCTAATACGCTAATAAGCTTCTGCTGTTGGGCGTGGCCTATTATGCGAATGAGTTCCTGCTGGGCTTCTTCTACAAAAAAGCCCTGCTTTGAATGAAGACTTGCTCTCTACCTGCATGCACTAAGAGAGAGAGACATGCTGTCCTCTCTTGGCACCATGAGGCAGAAGGGCCTCTCGCTAGGCTTACCAAACGCCGGCGGGGGAAAACTATTTCCTGGCAGGATGCGTGCCGCGGGGGACGGCTGTGCGCGCTGCCCCCGCCGTCGCCAGGATGTGACGCTCCGCGTTACTCTGGCAACGGGGCTGTTTGGGTCCCGTTGCCAGGGTAACGCAGAGCGTCACATCCTGGCGACGGCGGGTGCAGCGCGCACAGCCGTCCCCCGCGGCACGCATCCTGCCAGGAAATAGATTTCCCCCGCCGGCGTTTGGTAAGCCTACCTCTCGCCGTCTGCTTCCATCCTTTAGCTAGTAAGTTAGTACTCTATCATATCTCTGCTGTTTCCTATCCCAAGTGTACTTCTCAAATAAAGAGAGGAGTATTTCTCTTCTAAACTTGCAATGTGGCTCTGTGTAGCTTTGTAAGCTGAGTAACCTGGTAAAGTGATGCTGCTGTGTTTGTAGCTTCATTAAAGCCCTCTGCTAACATGACCACGGAAACGTCTTCGGACAGCGCTGGCTCTTCGGCTTTGAAACGGAGATGAGCACCGCAACCCTAGAGTCGGATTCGACTGGCTTTCGAGCAACGGAACCTTTAACTAATGGTGACTGGACTAACCATACCAGTTGACCTCAATAAACCATACATTAGCATTCAAGACAAGATCCCCCCCCCTATTTTGTGGGATTGAAGACAGCCTCTCAATTGGGAAATGAGGAGCTGTTTTTAGCCCACCCCTGACCATAAGCTCAGCTTACCATCACTACTTCCTCTCAGCACCACATCTGGAGACGGTGTCTGCTGGGAGCGAGAGCCAAAGGAATCCAGACTGTCAAAAGAATCATCTCTACCGTGGCGAGGGGGGGAGAGAGAATCGCTCCGTTCTGTGTCCCAACAGTCTACATAGCCGCTGTCGCGGATGCTGCGCTTGGGGCTCTCGACATCCTCAGTCTCCTGGCGTGAAAAAGGAAAAGGCATTTAAAAAGGCATCTTCCTGCATTGAAATGTGCACATCTCTAAAGACGGAGACCAGACAGCGCCTTTTAAAAGAGTTCATTCCACTTGAAAACATCTTTCGTCAGCTGTCCTATTGCTGTCTCCAGCCAAATAGGTTTTGTAGGTTTTTGGAAGCACTACAAAGACCTGTACAACCTGGTGCTGGCAGCAGACAATCGCTGTTGAGGCACAGAAGGCTGCTGAGGCACATCACGCCAACCCCTCTCACGATACGGAGTTGCGTCGATTTCCTCGCAGTCGATCACATCAGAAGGCTGTCTGAAAGAGCAACTGGTGTTTGCAACACGCACACCCAGCCCACTTACCCCCCTACTAAAGAGATTTTTGCATTACTTCAAAAACCCGTTTAACCAGAAGTGAAAGCTGGACAAAAGAAGTGTACGTACACACTAAAGGAAGGGATGCCTCTCTTAAACCACTTGCAGCTCTTTCAAAAAGACACCTTTGTCTTGTTTAGCAGAGATAATAGTGGGACAAATGCACTACATAACAGGCAAACATACTCTCTCATCTCACTTTCAGCACTCAAAAAACTATCGCCCGCTTCACACTGTAGTCCCCACTTCTGCCAATCAAAAGAACACACACTTCCAAATTGCTGTAAAATAAAAAAAGGATTCACTTTTTAACAAAAGTTAAAAAAACAAAAATTACACGTGCGCACGCACACGTATACATACATACCCTCGGACCAGTGTCACACAGATAGCTGTAACGGAGAGTAAGCCAAATTTATATACTCTGCAGAAAAGCAGCTGTCTTAATCTACTGCAGCAAACATAACGGAGTTCTTAGAAGACCCACTTAAAATTATGGCGCGAGCTTTTGCAGGTTAGAGCCCACTTCAATCAGATGCCGGTTTACGGGTGAGCCCCCGAGGTTTCTTTTAAAAATTTGACCTGAAATGCTGGCTGGTCCTTCATTGTCCGTATCCTACAGGCAAAAGCATCTCGGGGCTAGGCTGACAGGCAAGGCTGGACTAACCCCACCATCTGTGGAACGGATCTCTTTGGCTTAGCTATTGCATCCGGCTGGAACCCCAGCGGAGATCATTCGCTCTGGCCGGCTTAGGTCTTAGCCAAACAACGCAGCCGTGTGCTCTCCAGGTCTCCTTCCACCTTGAGGAGAAATTCCTGTTACGAAAGAGGGGGGATGTCTTTCTTCCCCAAGCAATCCACAATGAAGGGGGGGGGATAAAATATGCAAAACGCTTTTCCTGATGCCTCCGAAGAATGCAGCCTGGCTCTTTTTGCTTGTTGCCAGCTCTTGGCTCCAGGGGATAGGAGAGCACTTGTAGCTGACCCACATGTTCAGAGCAGGGAGAACAATGGCCCCCTTTGACAGACTCGGCGATTATAAATTCTTTCCAGCCCGAGCTGCACATACTAAAACACTGAGAGCTCCAGCAGAGGAAAAAGGTCAGCAGAAGCCACCCTCGGCCTGGTGATATTCGAACGTCACCCCTTGTTTTTCCAGACGGTGTCCTTCTCATCACTTCACAACAGTGCCGGGGCCAAGACAAACGGGAAGAAGTGCCTTCGCACAAAGGCAAACTTTTTACCAAGTTGGGATGTTGTTTTCTGGGGGGGAGGTGGGCTTCAAACTGGAGCCACAAGGAAAGGTGGGGTACAAATACTCAAATAAATAAACAGAAGAAAGTTTGAGTCCAGTGGCACCTTTGAGACCAACAAAGTTTTATTTAAGGCGTGAGCTTTCGTGTGCAAGCACACTGCTTCAGATACAGAAGCACGAAATTTCACACCTTGAATAAACCTTTTTTGGTCGTAATAACGAAACACGAAATTTCACACCTTGAATAAACCTTTTTTGGTCGTAATAACGAAACACGAAATTTCACACCTTGAATAAACCTTTTTTTTTGAACCCCAGCTTTGTTCTGCTGCTTCAGACCAACATGGCCCCCCACCTAAATAAATAAATAAATGAACTCTGCTCTGTGGAGTGGTTGGACAGGAGTGGGACCCACCCCCTCGTTATCACACCGAAATGTCGTAATCTGAAAAGCCAGAGACGAGAAACATTTTCCAGGAGATGGTTTTAAAACAAGATGGCCGACACGACAGGACAGCACAGCACACACCTTTCGTGTGGTGTCCTACTCATAAGACAGGTCATGCTTTTCGAGGGAACTCGGGAGCCCTAGACTTTAAGCTGCCCCTCGAAACCTACTTTGTAATTTATCAGTTATTAGGGGTGGGTTGTTTGTTTGTTTAAAAAAAGGCTTTTACATGTATATCTAAAAAGCACAAAATTTAAAAACTCAAGTATCGGTAAGCATATCCATGACACCAATGTACTTGTGTATGCACCCTCTACGGTAAATCTTAGTTTCCCATTGTATTGTGTGTGAATCGGCTTTGAGGCTATTAGGAAACCTAGGAGGGAAACTCAGGAGTCTTGTGACACCTTAAAGACTAATGAAAATGTTATTTCCACATACCCTTTGGCGGGCCAGATGCTTCTCTTGATAATAGGAGTGGCTCCTCATTGTACAGTCATTTTATGTTAGGTGGCTTTAAAAAAGACCAGAGATTTCTCACTCATTACAAGGCAAAATCTTGGGCTCCTCCATTCAGTCCCATAGCCGCAAACTTTTTTTTTTGGGGGGGGGGGGGGACAAATGAGTACAGTGGTGGTCAGCTGTGTTCCCTCTAAGCTGCAGAGTCTTGTGAGCCAAAATTCAACTTTGTGAGCTACTGGCATTAAAGTTGTGAGCAAGCGACTTGGCTACTGCACGAATCAGTTTGCTCTGGAGCCATCCTTCCTGGGCTAAGACAAAAATGTGTGAGCCAGAGGCTTAAAAACTGTGAGCTAGCTCACACCAACTCAGCTTAGAGGGAACACTGGGTCAGCCCATCATTATTTATTTACTTTATTATTAATTTATTTATACTTATTTATTTACCAGTTTTCTCCTTGAGGCTCAAGGAAGCATGCAAGCTTCAGGACACAACCGCTCAGGAAGTAGTAGAAAAGAGCCAGAGTCCAGTTCAAGGTTCCCTCTAAGCTGTGGAGTCTTGTGAGCAAAACTTCTACTTTGTGAGCTACGGGCATTGAAGCTGTGAGTGAGCGATTTGGGTACTGCAGACATTAGTCTGCTCTGGAGCCCTCCTTCCTGAGCCAAGACAAAAATGGGTGAGCCGGAGGCTAAAGAACTGTGAGCTGGCTCACACTAGCTCAGCTTAGAGGGAACACTGGTCCAGTTGTACCTTAGAGACTAACAAAATTTGTGGCAGGGTGTGAGCTTTTGTGAGTCACTGCTCACTTCTTCAGGATACCATCTTGATCTATCTGAGGGAGCGTGCAACTCTCCTCCACCCTGAGGAGCGTTCCTCCCAACCATACTCATCCTTTAGAGGAAGAGCCACTTCAGTTGGAGGAGAGCTCCGAAGGCTGGTAGAACTTTGATAAGTGGAATCATTAGGACTGCCGGCCTTCAGGTGATTAGCTGGAGATCTCCTGCTATCACAACTGATCTCCAGGCAAGAGATCAATTCACCTGGAGGAAATGGCCCCTTTGGAAGGTGGACTCTATAGCATGATACCTCACTGAAGCTCCTCCCCTCCCAAACCCCTGCCCTCCTCTGGCTCTGCCCCCCGCCCCAAATCTCCAGGTATTTCCCAACCCGGAGCTGGCGACCCTAGTTTCAAATAGCAGAATCCAGGCTGGTATTCTCACGCACAGCACTTTGTTTTCCAAGAGGTGTGAAGAGCAACCATCAACATACAGGACCGAGTAAAGGAATGTGATTCAGGGGCCAACACGAGGGTGGAATAACAAACCTTCTCTCTTCCTTGGTGACCCTAGCCACTAAGAATCAAGTCTGCCCCTATCTTCATAGCCCTTTCCTGTTTCAGCCTGTGTAACGTTTGGCTTTTTTGTACACACACACACAGACGATAATTTTGATCGGGTTTTGTGGCTGTCTTCCCTGTGACTGTGACAGTAGTGTTATCAGCAGATTTCCTTCTCCCCCTCAGGAAAAACAACAAAACAGTCAGGAACACTTAGGATTCATGTAATGTTCTAGAACAGTAAGAGTGCCTCTCGGGCTCTGGCTTGTCATAATCCACACAACACCCCTGTAAAATAGGTCAGCTTTATAGGTCAGGTTGCTGTCCGAAGACAGCGTATTCTGCCTCAGTCAGTTCAGAGCAGAGGCAGGCCTCAAAATGGGGATTTCCCGATTCACTACTCAGCCAGTGTTATTATATCACAACTTCTTGGGAAATGAAAAAAATGCCAGTCGAAAGGACAGCAGAAAGTGAGTGGAAAAACAGAAGAATGGAAAGAGGCAAGGGTTTTACCTATGAAGTAGGATTGTTAAAATACTTGGCGTTCTACAGATTTCCTACTTGGGGGAAGGGGGGGGGACATGCCAAACCCTAGCAATTAGCGTCAGTAAGGAGTCTGCTGCTGTAAGTACCACCAGTTGCATCAGGCCAAACTAGAAGACAGCAACAGAAATCAATCATAGATTAAAGGAAGCAGGATTTAATACTTTTGACAGGGAGAAATCTGATCCTTCCTGTCTTCTCTCTCTTCAGTAATGATAACTATGGCATGGATGACTGTTAAACATGCCCTCATTCCAAGGGTAGATTGACCATAGAACAAAATAAACCCTGAATACATCTAAATTGGATAAACCCCTGTAGCGCAGAGCATGAGCCTCTAGAATGTCTATCTTAAGACATGTTACATCCTTCCACTGAAGGCAGTGTTCTTAGAAGGGGGTAACATCAGGTACTGTAGGATGGTACTGTAGGAGCACTGGGGATCCAGCAGGAAAGCTGCAAAAAAAAATCGGTACGCTTTTTCATATTTATTTCCCACAATTATATACTGGCTTCTCTCAAGTGCCCACAAATGACTAGCTTCCCGATGCACGAACAGGCATGACAGTCTTTAAAAA